GTGGACTTGACCTGACCTGACCAAAACACATGATCCATCAATGCTGTTACCTCATTTAGAGAAGTCTATGTAGAAACACAAGATGCAGCTTCATCAATAGATCAATTTTAATGAAAGTGAAGAATCATTATGAGGCACTATTATGTTGACCTCTTGGCCTCTGTTACCTTTAACATGTTAAAAGGGGGTTTTCTTCTAAACAAACAAAGGTTGTGTTCACATTAAGTGTTAAATGTTAATAATGATAAATTACTAAAAAGGTAGTTATTTCTCCATCATGTATAGAAACAGGATGACATAGCAGAGCAGTAACTCACAGCGTAGCACATGTCAGAGATGCGGGCGTTGATGCCTGAGGCCCTCTGCAAACACGAGTCATGTGACACAACTACCTGTTCGTCTTTCGTCAGCTGGCAGTCCAACTCCAGCATGTCTGTGCCAAGATCCACAGCACTGTGTAAACAAACACACAATACACATACTATATTTATCACTATACATGGAAGACTCTGTTTACTTAACAATAAATTCAATTTAATGAAATCATAAAGCAGTTCAAATCAAATACATCAAATACATTGATAAATCAGTCAAACAACCCCAGCAGTTTATCATCTGACGCTCTGACATGAATCTAAGGCATCACTGCCTGTGTGCTGGGGTGTGGATAACCAGGCAAAGCCGGACGCACAAAACTGACAGAGATCACAAACAAAGCTTAGATGACTCAAACTGCCCACAATCACAAGTACAAGCACCAGTTATGTTTCACACGTACACGCAAAGGTCAAAGAGCTTTATCATTGTGACTAAGGTTTCTACTTACTGCTTGAAAGCTGCCATGGTGTTTTCCAGGTTTTCACCTGCTCCTGAAACATAAAAGTAACCCTGTTTATTGGAAGCACAGCAATAAATACACTGTAAAACCAAAATCATGCAAAACAATATTGTAACAGCCCAACCAGAGGTGGATAAAGATGCCAAAGTATAAACAATAGGTCTATTTTTTTTTTAGAATTTTATTTATCTAACAGGGACAGTACACAGCTACTTGGCCACACCAGAGTTAGCTATAAGCTAATTTTCATCTGTAGTCCCTGGGCAGGAAACAGAGAAATTCCTCTGCTAAAACACACTATTATATCAGAAACACAATTAAAAATTGCTGAAGCCATTGTGTCATGAAAATGACTATTGATGACTATCAATAGTCATTTTCATGACACAATGGCTTCAGCAATAACAATAGCAAAACAACACAACATCAAATCATTGCAACAATAACAACAGCAACAACTATTGTTATTTTATTGCTGTTTCTTGTATTTTCGGGTTGTTTTTTTTTTTGGCATGCCTAGTTTTTAACTTTTTAATTTTTTAAATTCTTAATCTGACTCTTTCTCCTTGACTGCTGTAACACTGGAATTTCTCAATTGTGGGATCAATAAAGGTGTATCCTATCTTATCTTATCTTAACTACAATACTAAGATGTAGCAAGATTTCATAATGTTAGATCAAGCGTGTGAGTTCATGTGTGATGGGTGCATGACTGGGTTGATTTTAGCCATGATTTCATCTTAAATTTAAAACCAAGAAACCTGTGGCACTGTCTTGTCTCACTTGGTAATAAGTTCAAATAGTTTGTCACTCTAACAGAGACTGATCTACCAAACTCAGTAGGTCTGTGCTGTACTGTTTGGTGTCAGCAAGGCACCCAAAGCTGTCAAAGGTCTTATAATCACAACTATGTCACAACTATCCAAATATGATGATGATGCTACTGTATTCAGACAAGAGACTGAGAAAACTGTAGTCACTGACAGTTGAAAGGGCCAAGAAATGAACACGAGGCTCAAAATGTAAATAACGCTCGTCATCTTCACATGCAAAATAACTACCTGACTAACAGGTACGCCAACTATTGAAAAATAAGTTGCTTATTCTGTAACGAACTGGGGATAAATTGTCACACACCCTTTAACTTCATGGGGATTTGACAGGAAATAAAATCGAAGATTATAGATGCTGTAATCAGTATTTGTGCCACAGACTCACCACCTCGATGAGAAATGTGCCTGCTGAGGAAAGCCTCTCGCTTCCTACGGTATAAAAGATTTGGGCATTTCAGCAGCAGGGCAGAGGTGAGCACGTAGCCCGTTACCGTTGACAGGATGTACACAGCAGCACACATCTCCTATCAGTCTGCTGGAAAACAACACAAACACTCATAGTCAATATCTCCAGGGAGGCAGGATTTCAACAAACAAATATCGAGCAGAGTCTAAAAAAATCTTTCAGGCTCAGCAGGAGTAGAGCTTCCACTGATAACTATTTTCCCCTTTATTTACAAAAAGAAAATAAAGGTGTTTACTTAGCCTGACCAACAGCTAAACCCCCAACGCATTACATTTAAATTAATATAAATGGAGATAATAAAGTCTTGCAGTCAAGTATTTGTGTCAACTAACCACATCAAATCTGTGTGAGATACAAGACTAGTTGTGCCTCTATAGTAGATGCCAAGCACAAAGTGAGGCTGTGGTGTTCATGCTGACATTTCCCCACCAACAGTCATTAATAAATTAGCTTATATACACAGTTATATACTCCATCAGAAAAAGGCTAGTCCTACAGAGCAAATGATCCTGCCATCAAAGGGGACAGATAGCCACAGACAGCACATATCAGCTACTATTTTAAATGTATTGTATTGTCACCGTTTACTCTCATTTATTGCCAGTGTGACTGTTTGAGCTCACTCAGCGTTAGAGACATGGTTTAATTCATATGACATGTTGACTAGACAACAATAAGGACCTATGTCTCCCTGACAATACACAGTTTCAACAACTGTCAACATGACAATAACGGTAACCATCTTACTGACGATAGCGTACTAGCTTCACGAGGCTAACGTTAGCTGAGATGGGGTCGAATTTACAAAATAAAATCTTACCTTTTTCATCAAACTGTGTGTATAAGTGTGGTATGAGTCAGTTAGTGTCCAAGTATCTGTACAGTCAGCCTCTTTGAATGAAGATAACCTAATGAACTGGTGGCTCCTCTTGTGCTCCACTCAGCTCACAGCTGTCTATGACAATTCACCGGTTACTGTCTGCTATGCGCATGCGCAATCCCCTCCTACCCTCAAACGCATATTTGCCAAAGGCAACAACAAAGGCACTTCCGCCCTGATATTTCAGAATAAAAGCGGAATTTTGACAAAATCATAAACATTCAATGCTGTGTTTCTCTCTAATTTTCTTTTAGAGTGAGATTAAACTTTGTTTTTCCCAGTGTGTTATTTATTCCTCTTTATTCACTTTGCTGAATTATTATTAGTTATTATCAGTTAAGTAATACTACCCCAGTCAAGTGTTTTTCTCTTTCTTTTTTATTCCTCGTTAGGCATGAAAACAGTTTTTTGAAGCTCATTTTTAAATCATGCATTTTTCAAGATTTATTTTTTAAATGTCCATCTGGGTGAACAGCATGAATTTGTGTTTTCAAGTCAAGAAATACATATTATATTATCTATAATATAATAAATATAAATAGTATTGTATAATTATATTATAGTATAACTTAATTAGAATTGTATATTTTTACCAGTAGATGACCCTAAATCCTATACATTTCACCTTTAAAAAGTAGGCTATGTTATTCAAAAAGTATGTCATGAATCAGTTCATTTATCTTCATTTCCTGAATCAAAAATTAATGTTATTCAGCAAGTCGACGCTTAATCCCCCAGATCTACTTTGTTTGAACCAGTCCAACAGCATCCAGTTTAGGAGACAGTTGCAGGAGACATCCATCGAGAATATTATGCTACTGAGCACCAACTGAAAAAAATGTTACCAAAGTGAGGCAAAATGATACTGGTGTGCAAAACGTGCAGGTTGAAAATTACAGATGGAGACACAATAACTTCCAACATGGTTTTAGAAATATGTACAAAATTTTAAAAACATTTGATTTCTGTAAATTTAATTTGCTATTACTCTGTTGTTAAAATGGTATCATCTTTGGTGAAGAGCAGATTATGACTTGATTAGGACTCGAAACTCAAAGTTTAAGACCTGGAACTTGACAAAAAACAATGGCTTGATCCCACCTTTGGTATTCTGACATTAAAATTCAAAGATGCATTGTACAGATGACACTTTATTTTCAATAGTTGGACTGACATAAAAACAAATGTAGAGTGGAAATTACATAGCTTCTTCAAGATCAAATGGCTCACATGCTACTTAACAGCTTATTACACATATCCACTTACAGCATATGAGCCTGCCTTTTACTTATGCAATACCCATTTTATAGGCTACAACTCAAATAAACCTCCTTGCTTTACTAACAGAGGACAATGTGTCATTACATATACTGTGTGTGGAATGTAGAGTTCCTTTTGTTGTTGTTGTTGTTGTTGTTGTTGTTGTTTTAGGTTTACAGTTTTAATTTAAGTGTAATTGTACGGTGTCAACACAGTACCTTGACTGAATGCTGTTGATTAAGAAGACAACATAGAATTTTCATATCAAACCGTTTTAATGTACCAGTTTAAATATGTATATATGTTTCAACAACCAAAACCAAAACATTCCCCCTTCAACACCAGTCTCTATGGCAAAGTAAGTTCATTGCTGTGTTAGTCCGGTCAGGGTACCCTGACCCGGTCCTTTCATCCACCAGATGTTGCTAATGTGCAGCTGTGTAAGTGGTGAACAAAATATGCTGAACGATTAAATATACACAAGAGCACAGTCTAGCTAACAGGGAGCTGTGTGAATCACACAATGGTAAAAAATAGAGACCTCTATTCTTTGCATTGTTTGTATATAACATAGTCAACAATAACCTATCACCTTTAACTCACCTGTGAGTGATAAATGAACAATATAATAACCAGATAGTTACCTTAGAACAATGTCCAAGTTGCACATTTGCACCAGTCAAAGTTCACTTTATGCAATAAACCATCCATAGAGATGTGGTACACACCCTGAAGAAAAGGACTTCAACACGGCATTATGTGCAAGTGATTTCTTAGTTGTTAATCAATTAAAAAGCTTTACTAAGTTTTATTTTCAGTGGGTCTGGATTTGCTGTCAGTGATCTGTAAAGATTAAGTGTTGCCAAAATGTCTCAAGGAATAAGAGTGGTTCTGGAGGAGTGGAAATGTCTGGAAGAAGAGTACCAACATCTTCAGGTAAGAAACATCAGTATTAGATGATTTACCTAGAGCAGTTGTATAAACCTTATTATCATACTGTTTACTCAAACCATGAATGCTTTTAAAATCCATCCTGTAAACCTGACATCTGTCAGTCGTGCTTGGTTTCATGTCAAATATCTCATATTATTTAGTAATCTACTGTATTCCAAAAAACTACTTCTTTTTTTAATGTTTCTTGCAATTTGTCTTTGGTTATTGATGTAACCCCATGTTCCTCTCGTCCAGGAGACACACAGAATGTACTCACAGAAAATGGATGAAGTTTACAAACTTCAGAACAACTGCAATTCCTCCATCTCTAAGCAGCGCAGAAGACTGAAGGACATGTCCCACCTAATGAAAAAGTTAGTTTACACACAAATTTGCATGGACAGACTTATAGTAACATATTCAGACAGATACAATACATCCGGTCACACACACACATATTTCATAGTTAATGCACCAATGACTGTATTTTAAAGATGGACGACATGACAGCTCCCCAAAAGTGAAGCTGAAACATCTCAATCGCCCCCTGGTGGCTGGCTACAGTATAGGTCATAAACCCCACCCCCTTTATGTTATCGGACATGGGTCAAAATTAAAGATCAAGGCACACACGTAAATATCATTTTTTAAAAAAGATGGTTTCTGTCATTTATCACGCTAATGTATGTTCATGTGTTTCTTTTCCTAATGTTTGATTTTAATTAACTGTTTAATTAGATGTAATAAAGGGGGTGGGGCATTATGAGTGACAGCTATATGAGCCAATCGCTGGGCTTATGATCTTATGATCACGATTGGTTGGACAGCTGTTTGGGCAGGATCGCTACTGTCTCTGGCCTCAAATGACATCACCAGCCAAAATTCTCACTCTGACCTTGTTGCATATTGGTGTTTTGGTCATGGACTTTCCATGCCCACATACGACATGCAAGGTAACCTGGGTGTGTTGGTTGTTGACGTTCTGGGACACCGTGTCAAGTTCTCTTCTTTCAAGATACACTTCCCATTTCACAGGCGGTTTAATTGGCATTTTCTTTTTCCTTCAACAACAAACACATGTGGCTAGGTTTAGGCAACAAAATGAAGTGGTTGGGTTCAGGAAAAAAGAACAGGGTTCAGCTTTAGAATCTTACAGGACATAAACACCACTCTCTTGGGTGAAAGTCGGTGTTTGTTGTACCCATCCACCACCCATCCCGCAGCCCCACTCTGACTTTCGCCACATTAACTTTCATCCTTGTCCCGCCGCATTTCCCACTGACACCGCCTGGCGCTGTTAAACTATTACAGCAGCTGTGTATCAAGCTGACATTAAAGGACACCTTTTTCGTTGGTTTCCGACGCTGCAAGTCACTGCCCAAGCCGGATTTCGACAACTTCCGAGTGAGACCATGGTCCACCAGCACAAGGTGCAGCGGCTGCATCTAGGATGCAAATTTGCAAATCTAAGGATAGCGATGGAATGACCCGCCCTACTCTTCCTATGACTGGCTAGTACTCATTGCCTTTGTTGGTCGAATTGGTTCGGTTTAGGCAAGAGGGTGGGATTGGTTAGGGTTAATGTAAGAATGTCAGGATCAGCCAATCAGAGGCAGAGTCAGACAGAGTAAGGTGGGCCATTCCTTTGCCGTCCAAGGATTTGCATATTAGCATCTGGGATATTTATTTTTTTGTACAGTGGGACAAAGAGTAGATGTGTTGTTCATCTTTTTATCCACTCACTGATGTGTACATACAGTGGCAAATCTTTCCATTGGTAACATAGGCAGCTGCCCAGCGGGGCTTGCCTTAGGTCACTGGATCTGCTAGGTCCGGCACTGTGCACACAGATCCACAGGGTCAAGGAAAGGCTTACTGATATGGACAAAGTGGACCACTCACTTCAGCAACACCACACACATACATGCTATGTTGTGTCAACGGTATAGACATATCTTATGCACGTATATCATTCATCAGGTGCAGCAAAGGACTATCAGAAGAAGATGCCAAGACCTTGGATGGAATAAATGAGAAGATGAAGACTCGAGTGAATGCTTTCTCTGAAATGGAAGCTTTCCTTCCCAAAAAAAATGGGTGACGACTTCTACTTAAACATACAAGTTGACATCATTGCTTTGATTGAAATACATAACAACAGATGTTACCTTGTGTAAAGTTAAACAAGAAAAGTAATATGATTGTTTGATATTGCAGGTTGTACCTCAGTCTGGTTCTTGGAAATGTGAATGTCACTCTTTTCAGCAAACAGTCAAAGTAAGCAAAGACCATGAAAGCCAATGCAGTCTTAAAATATTCCTTATTTTCATGAATCAAATATTTCCATGTCTAATTTAATTAGTTAGAAAAAGCCTGTACTGTATATTGATTCCTGAATTTATCACATCCTTGTCAGATTTGCCTACAAAGACGATTACGAGACGTTCAAGCTTTGCCTCACAGTCCTCCTACTGCTGTTCTCCTTCATGTGCTATTTCTTTGTGAGCTACAGGTGAGCATCAGCATATCACACATCCCAGCTGCTCCTTCCTTGCCAGTTACCATGAGTTTATTACATGAACACTGCATGTACTGTATTTCTTAATCTTATGTCTCTGATTTTAGATTCCTTGATGCGATCCTTAATTTCCTGCTGGTGTTTTACTATTGCACATTAACTATCAGGGAAAGCATCCTCATCACCAATGGCTCCAGGTCAGCCCCTCCACTCTTCCAACCCTTCTACCAAATATATAAAATACAAGACATTCTGGCATCTCTCTCCAGTGTTGTGGTACATGAGATTGGTCTTGAGACTAGTTTTAAGACCAGTTTTTGAAGGTCCTTGTCTTAGACTTGAACGCACTTGAACTTGAACTTTGGATTTTAGTTTAAAACTAAAACCATGTGATGTTTGGTATTGCCAGAGTCAGGAAGCTCTCGACTTTTCAAAAATAACATAATTTTTCTTTTATTACTTATGGATTTCGCATCAGAGCAGCAAAGTCCAAAATTGTGATGAGTGGTGACAAGTCATGTCATGCCGTTTTTCGAAGGGAAAACTTAAAGGATTACTTGTGATCTTATGCGGAGCCGCTAGTGGAGACTTAGATCTTTTATAGAAGGTAAGAGTCTCACTCATACCACTATTTTTGGCTGAGATATACTGCCCAGAAAGTGGGATCATAACTTTCACGTTTCATATTGCTTTATTTGGTGGTATCATAATCACACCTGATTTCAATAAGGTACAATGTTTGAAGCTGGCTGAGTGTTGTTTGATCACTGATAGTACTGTTTTGAAGCGGAGTGACCGACTTGTCATTTGGAGCTCCACCTGGATCTTTTCATGGAAAAAACACTGTAGAATGGTCATACTTTGATCAATCTTCTTCAAATTTGAAACAAATGTTCATTGATAGTGTGCCTACAGCCCCACAGTGTCATTTACCTGCTCAGATGAAGCCACAGACAGTTATTCATCCTGAAAAACATTTTTTATTTTATTTTAGGCAAAATCTTCAATCTCCTAGAGTGTTTCTTTCACAAGAAACTTCAGGAAGTTTTCTTTCTGGCAAGACCTCATGCATGCATGTAGTCAGAGCGGTTCAGATGCTACAGTCATAGGTGTTTTCGCTATAAAATGGGGGTGGATCGCAAGAGGTTAAGACCGGTCAAGACCACAGATGTGGGGACATTACTAAATTCCCTGTGCAAAAATCAGTGTTCAACACACTGATGGTAAGGTTGATTCAATCTTCTTAGTGTTTTATTTGTATGCTCATAGAAAACAAAGGACAATTCACTTTTGCAATGCCTTTTGCTTAGCTTACCAAGACATTTCTCATGGTGCACTTCTCATGGTGTCCATGGTTTGCACTGGTTTCTTTTTGGTCTTTACTCAGTCTCAGCCCCTTAAAGTCTTGGTTTTGTCTTCGTCCTTAATACACCACGGTTTTTGTCATGTCTTGGTCTCAGTTTAGGTGGCCTTGACTTCAACAGTGTCTCTCTTTGACCTTTTACTTTTTATCAAAGGGGACTAGTCATTATTGCTCAAGCAAATCTGATTCTTAAAGCAATTCAGATTTAAAGCAGCTGTGCGGAACTTTTTACCATTTATAAAACTGTCCCTAGTTTGTAGCACCCCGAGCCCGCAGCGGCCCGCAGCCATTAAACCACAGAAGAAGAAGGAGCCATGTTTACGAGTAGGATTTAAGAAACAGGCTAAATGACATGTAGTAGGGAGAAGTGAATGATTTCGGACACATTGCACACTCTTGTACAGTAGGTGGTGGTATGCACCTGGAAGTTGTTTGCGATCCGCCAATAAATTGAGAGAAGAAGAAGAAGAAGAGCCGTGTTTACAGAGAGTGTTCTTCGAGTAAGCGGTACGCAACGGGCATTGCTGATGATGATGCATTTTATTTTATTTGTTAGGGCGCCTTTCATGCCACTCAAGGTCGCCTTACAGCAAAGATAAAAAAAGCATACATCAAACAAGAAACACAACATACAAAACATCATACAAATATATTAAAATAGAGGGGAAGACAGTAAGTCTGAACAGATGTGTTTTGACTTTGGATTTGAACAGATTGACAGATGTGGTGTTGCGGAGGTCAGGGGGGAGTGAATTCCAGAGCTGGGGAGCAGAGCGGTTGAATGCTCTGTACCAGTTGTAGTTTATGGAGAGTTTTTTGTGGAAGACCGTACAGGAGGGAGTTGCAGTAGTCAAGCCGGGAGGTGACGAGACTGTGGACCAGAATGGCAGCTGTGTGAGGTGTGAGAGAGGGACGGAGGTGGTTGATGTTGTGGAGATGGAAGTAAGCTGACCGGGTTATGTGGTTGATATGAGAAGTGTAAGAAAGTGTGCTGTCGAGGATGACACCCAGACTCTTGACCTGTGGGGAAGGAGAAATGGAAGAGTTGTCAATAGATAATATGAAACTGGGGGATTTGGATAGGGTGGTTTTAGTGCCAATGAGTAAAATTTCTGTTTAGTCACTGTTAAATTTGAGGAAGTTGGATGAAAACCAGGATTTTATTTCAAGGAGGCAGTCAGTGAGGGAGGAAGGTGGGAGGGTGGAGTCGGGTTTGGTGGAAATATGGAGCTGGGTGTCATCCGCGTAGCAGTGGAAGTGGATATGATGTTTCCGGAAGATGTAGCCAAGGGGGAGTAAGTAAATGATGAATAGCAGGGGCCCCAGGACAGAGCCCTGGGGCACACCTGCGGTGACTGGGAGTGGTTGTGATGTGAATGATTTGAGTTGGATGAACTGAGAGCGGCCGGAGAGGTAGGATTTGAACCAGTTGAGGGGGGTGTGTGTGATGCCAATAGAGAGGAGTCTGTCCAGGAGGGTGGTGTGTGAGATGGTATCGAAGGCCGCACTCAGGTCAAGCAGGATGAGGATGGATAGGAGACCGGAATCGGCTGCCAGGAGGAGATCGTTGGTGATTTTGAGAAGTGCCGTTTCAGTGGAGAGGGCTGAAACCATACTGGAATTGTTCAAAAAGATTATTGTGGGAAAGGTGGGAATGGAGCTGAGAGGCAACAGTTTTTTCAAGTATCTTTGAGAGAAATGGAAGATTGGAGATGGGACGGAGGTTATTGTGGTTATTGGGATCTGCACCAGGTTTCTTGAGTATTGGGGTGACAGCAGCTGTTTTGAGGGGTGAGGGCATAGACCGCGGAACGCATCTGAACAAGGGGAGGCCATAATTTCAAGTCACGCGGAGGGGGTGGGGGGGCATATGCATTGAAACAGACAATATTACTGATGTATTAAATAACGTTGCGGAGAACTTTTTTTATTCCGACGCCACACAGTCACATCTACAGTACACGCATGAACACGAACACATGCTTGCTCAGATTAACCCCTCTGATCCCACTCTAACATTCACACACAACAGGCCAAGCCTATTTACACATAAATGCACAGATGAAACTATAGCAAACAACAAAGTACATCCAGTCCACAACCAGAACCAAAACTCATCTTGCTGCCTTTAATCTAAATCAACATCATATTCATTATCATCAGAAGTCAGCACTCATATCAGACTGATGTGCAGAGCCGCACACACACACACACACACACACACACACACACACACACGCACACACACACACACACAACAACAACAAAACAAGCGCAGCTGCGCAGTTACTGAAAAGTAACCAGAACGCTGAATTTCTGACCATTACAGCCCGCAACTGCAATGTGTATGTCCACTCCCGCCCGCTCCCGCAAAACTCTGAGAATTTATGCCCGCACAATACTAGAGATGCATTGATTTTGTGTCTTCTCCTGTCCCGCAGGAGAAAACACGTCATTTTATAGGCTATTAATAAAGAGATTCATGGGGTTGTTTGTTTCTTTTCCCTGGTCTGCATGTCTTTTGATGCACTGGTCAGGAATAGCACTCCTATTTCGTTGTTTTTTGCCGGTGAAACACAATAAACTGCACGTCTTCTTTCATGTTTGTCTCATGACAGATGGAGCTGACAGACAGACAGACAGACAGACAGACAGACAGGTGGAGCAAGCGGCAAATTGGTATGAAAGCTGGTTCAGGGCATATTCGTCCATTTATGAATAAATATGGAGTGGAAACGCCTAAGCATGTGCACCAAGTTCCTGTGTTGACATCCTGTCGCTAGGCTACATCTTCTTCTTCTTCTTTTTCTTCTTCTTCTACTGTTTAATGGGGACCCGTGGGACCCAATCCCAATGCAGCCCTCTATGTCAGAGTACAAAAGTTACCCGGGCCATGGCCCCCCTGGCCCACCCGGTTCCACGGTCTATGGGTGAGGGAACAATTCCAGTGGTGAGGGAAGAATGGATTATGTGTGTGATGAGAGGGGCCAGAGAGGGAACGGTGGCTTTAACAAGAGCAGTTGGAAGGGGAACTAACTGGCAGGTTGATGATTTGGATTTTTTGATCAGACTAGTGGTTTTGAAAACGGAAGGTAGAACACATAACAGTTTTACCAGATGTATCTATAAGGACTTGGTTGTACTTTCAATGTCATGGCGGATAACAAAGGAGCACCATCTAAAAGAAAAAGAACAGAGGAAGGCTAAACGGGACAGTGATAGGGCTCGAGCCCAAACGTGTGTAAACCTCGGTCGGGCATTCACCAAGTGGAGAGAGCTGAGAGATTTGAAAGGTTCCTGAGTTGGCCCTTTTCGACAGGTATGTAATTTTCGTACCGCAACTTAGACGTTAGACGTTGTTTCACTTCAATATATATGACGACATGGAAGTTATAAGCAAGCTAAATGTAACATTAGCTGATGTGAACCGCTTTTGTCTAGTAACGTTACAACAAACACCACAAAATTATCTGTGACTGTGACCATGAACACAAATATACAGCAGGCAGTTGTCTTCAGTTTATAAGAAATTCAGAGCTACACCAGAACATTTATGATTTTCCTCTCGCTCTCCAAAACAAATGCATGCGGAAACTGACGGTTGCAGTCGAGATTTTACGAATGAAGCCGAATGCCGGCTGCAGTCGGAATTTTACGACACCAGACTGTGGGTGTCATACTGCTTCGACCAAAGGGGGAAATATAATCAACGAAAACGTAAAGTTCCGCACAGCTGCTTTAACAAAGTGTAAAAACATGTCATCTAAATATCTAATAAAATGTATCCTGTATCATAGAATCAAAGGCTGGTGGGTTTTTCATCACTACGTCTCTGCATTTTTGTCCGGTGTGATGCTGACATGGTGAGTAGATGGAGATAAAAACTCTAGACTAATAAACAGGTAAACTCTATTATTATTATTATCACAAGTTTTAACCATTGGATGTATTCAGGTTTTGTACCTTGTCAACGTTTGTGTCAGAGTTGGCTGCAGACTGACTTGGCAGAGATGGCTGCCATCTTGTTTTTACATGGATTGGAGTACTGTGCTCTTACTGCCACTAGATGGCACAACAAGTGTCCACAAACGAGGACAACAGGTTTAAGTTAAGCAGAATGAAGTATAAGGTCAAGTAAACCCAAAATGTGATGTCCTCATATGAGGATGCAGGGTCTCAGAAGGTTAAATCACCGAGATGACAAAAAGACAATAACTTTCCTTCATTTAAACATGAACTTTCTGTTCCTATCGAGGAAAAAAGAAAATCCATTAAATATAATTTTTTTTTCTATATAATAAAAAATATTCTCCCTTTCACTCACTTTCAAGGCCAGATGGGAACCTGTACAAGACATTCAGGAACCAGTTCCTTGCCTACTCTTTGTATCAAAGTAAGGTCGAAGTACTTGAAACACATTCAGTCTTTTCTGAATCAAACCAAAGCCTCACTTTTTTATCTGGAACGCACAGGTTTTGTTCAGTGTCTGCAGTGCTATTATCAAAGTGGATGCCTGTACAGGCTGCGAGCCCTTGGAGAGAGACACAACATGGACCTGACTGTGGGTGAGATACACTGTAGCATGCCAAGGACACAGAACACAGACACACTCAGCCAGGCATATTTGACTATTTAGTGAAGATTTGAGACACAATGATGCTCCGTTTGGCACGTCTCAGGCTCCTCATTGTCTCTGCTGTATTATACAAATGTTGAAGTTTAAAAAAAGGTGCTTGAAAGACTTTTCTGCTTTCTGTTTTTAGAGGGGTTTCAGTCGTGGATGTGGAAAGGGCTGACGTTTCTGTTGCCCTTCCTGTTTTTTGGTCATGTGAGTACAATGTGTGACAGTGACCTGATTCGCAACAGAACTTGAGAAATATCCTCTGCTTATAAATCCCGCTTTGTCATGGTTAAGACTGGTTGACACAGACAAATTGATGAAAAAATGCTGATAATGCTGATGTCATTCTAGACTTAACATTACTCTGCATATGTAGGCATGACTCGAGACAATGTTCAGGTGTTTGATCTCAATAACAGCTTAAGCTTTTGTCTACGTTTGCAAAGCTTCAAACACTTTTTTTTACAACACAAAGTCTTAAGTCCTCGTGTTTTGTCTTGTAGTTCTGGCAGCTCTTCAATGGCCTCTCTCTCTTCAGAATGGCTCAGCTCCCAGACTGTAAAGAATGGCAGGTCAGTGAACTCACAGTTACCAAAGTTGGATTATTTCACCCTGTTCCTGCTTTTACAACAGCTAACGATTTGCTCTATCCATCATCTGTCCTACAGTAACCTAACACTTATTATCTGCATGGCTAAAACATGTTTTGTATAATACATTATATTAAGTTTTTGCATCCCAACCTGATCCCCTCCAGAAATGATGACGAATAAAAGCTATTATGCTTACTCACGGTTTGTTCCCTTTGTTCCATGTGATGCCAGGTCTTGATGTGTGGTCTCTGCTTCCTCATTCTGTTCATGGGAAACTTCTTCACCACTGTTGCTGTCGTTCGTCACAAGGTCAAGAACAGGAAGCAGAAACCAAAGAGTCTGTGATACATACTATAATTAAAAATGAAAAGCTCACGTCATTTATTGCTGTCATTATTTGCACATTATTTGCTGTGTCATCAAATTATTACAAGTCACAGCTATTATTGCAGAACATGTAGACTGTAAACTTCATGTAAAAAGTTTTATGTCAAATCAAGCATCATTAAGATTAAAGTATCCTTCATAATACCTCTATGTTCTTATCTTTGTATAATTAGTGACATTAATTGTATAGTAAAAGGTAAAAATGAATAAAACCCAATAAATATTTGCTTTTACAGACACATCAGCCTCTGTGATTTTTTTTTCTTTTTTTTAGTACTTCTACATATTTTGTACTTGCATACATGTGTCTGTTTAATTGCAGCCCTTTATTCCTGTTTTTTCCCCTCCTATTATACGGTTGAGTTGAAGTTGGGCGTGTAAACTCTGAGTTTCCCTGCAGAGATTTAAAAAGTACATCTCATTCTATCGTATTATATTACACTGGACAGGTATTTCCTCCCTGTAATTTCACACAGAATGCAACTTTAACTTGAGATAGAACCAATCGGAGTATGTAGTAGACTCACTCATGAGTATTTCCATTTATAGATACTTTACACTTCTACTCCACTACATTAAGGAAGAAAATAGGTTATTATATCTCACTCCACAACATTTATTTGAAAGCAGTAGTAGCTATTTATTTTGTATATTGTACAAAACTCATGAAGATCTTACAAAATGTGGTTCATTGATGACTGCCTCGCAGTCCTAATCAAAATGAGCTCCAGCTCCGCCTGCTAATACAACATTAAAATTAGAAATAATAATCAAAATCATACAATATAACACTGGCAGGCAGAAATTGAGGTATTTAAGTTATTTACTTAAGTCAAACAAGCAGTACCAAACTTATAAAAGTCCGATAGTACAGGAGTATTAGCAACAAACTGTACTTAAACTACTGAAAGTAAAAGTACTCATCATGCAGAGAGGCCCCTGTCTGTTATTACTGTTCTGCATCACAATTAATGATGTATTCATATTTTAACAGTAGAATAATTTTGTAATTTAAAGGGTGAGCTAATTCAGTATATTAATGTACTACTGGGTATCTTAATTTATGTATGTAATAATGCTTCATGTTGTATAAACTGATTTGGTATTTGAAAAGTAAGTGGAGTTAAAAGCTCATTTGACATGTAGTGAGCCAGAAATATAAAGTATAAGATAGACAGGCCTGTAAAGCACTTCATTAATCCTAATGGGAAAATGCAGATGAACAAAGGACAACATAAGGAAACAGAAATGGGTATATGAGAAGATATAAAAGCCCCAAATTTCTGCATAATACTGATTTAATGTTCTGTTTATTTCTCCTCAGCAGTGTTGCTTGTGTGGAAGATATGTGTATTATTGTCATTTTACTCTGCGTCGTCATATTTTTTAAAGCTATGCATATTCTATTCTTCCCTTTAGGTGAGGTACCATGAAACTGTTCTACTTATCTCTGTTCTTTATATCTAAATGCACAAATAAACGTAAACCTTAAGAACAAATAACCAAAATTAGAACTGGAAATTTAACAGAAAACTAAAAACTAGGACCAAACTTTGAATATATACAACCACAGAGCCTGGTAGGCCTATTATTCTGTACATGGTTAACGCAAGTCTTGTAGATAACTGTACAGTATAATGTCTTGTATGGATATGGCAAGGTCCTTCATTTAAACTGCATTTATGGAGCACTAGGAAGACAGTAATTCCATATACACTCACACAGTACACGCTATACCTACAGTTAAAATGAAAACACTTGTGATATTTGGCTGTTTTACTCAAAACTTTGAATGCATGACAGACTGTCTTTTAAATAATGTGGCCTTGCTGCTTTTACTTAAGTGAATAACCTGAAAACTTCTTCCACCATGCAGAAAATCCTCACAGGTAGATGGTCTGTGCAACATGTGTCCTTGGCACTGTGAACATAAACACCCCTGGAGGCGAGAAGGACACTTTTGATGAGTCTGCCTTTCGGTGAGGATACACAGTCTCTTGTGCTGGGTAAATTGCATAACCATGACCCTTTGCCTGCTGCACCTCGACAGTTATTTATTATAGCAGGTTACGTACGCACAGCGATATTAGGTAATGCCTCTGAGGACCCGTCCATGATGAGACACGTGTTCGCAGAAATAAAAAGAAAATAAACACGCTTAGTTTGAACAGGGAATTTATATGGAAGCGTCTCTTTAAAAGAAAAGCGTGTGCAGCGTTTTAATAATGAAAATATGAGTACATTTAATTTATTTGGTGTTGAGAGTGGACGGGTCCACCCCCGCGGCCAGGATGGAGTTGGTTTGATCCTACATGGCGTAAAGTTTTCTTCCGCGTTGAGCACAGTGTGAGCCTGACACAGAGAGGGGAGGCGAAGGTAAGCTTGACACCAAACTCACGTCTTAAAGTTGTTTTACATCGACTTGAAGTCTGTGGCAGTCTGTGGGAATTACACGTAAGCGATAATAGATTCACTTAGAAACTAGAAACTTAAAATACAGTTAGTTTTTTTCAGTGAAACATTAGCTAAAGGGACGTGCTGACTCCGGTGTTACGCAAACTGTGGCTAACTCATATTACTCGTTTCTTTGGTGTGTAGCTAAAGTTGAAAATACAAGCTTTGTATATTTTAGACAACACTATTTGACTCTAGATTAAACTGTCATTTTTAAAAGCGTATGTCTTGAACCAGCGTTGGCACGTTCCAGGGAATAGCCGGGGCCCAAACTCCTGTTTCGCTGGTTATCTTTTCAATAATCACAGTGTTATTTGAACACCAGCGTTATTTTCTGGACAGGAAACGTCAGCTATGACTTAATTAATCTAAACAAATAAATCTGGTGTCTGAATTACACGTGTAACATTCATACACGCTGTCGTTAACCGGCGCAGATACGTCAAGTGTTACACAATACCGGTGTTTGCTTTAAGCAGAAGAGGCTGATTGTCAGTGAACTTTTGTAAACCTCGTCCACATCTGGTTTCATTGATCATTTAAGCCCCTCGATAGCAGCAGCTATTGAAGATTCTTTAATTTGGCTTTCTTGGCAGTCTCACATGACTTTGAATAACCCATGTGCTAGCCTGTAGTTGGCGCACACACAGTGGATACAGTGTGTGTGTCACGTACTTGGCTTCTTCTCCTCATCTGGAATAGTCACTTCCTTAAATTAATGGGCATTTTCTCCTGCATGTCATGTCTTTGAAAGGCCATACTCCACAGGCTGTGAAATCAACAAGTAAAAAATAACTAGTCTTGATTGTCAAAGTAATGAATTAATAATTTCCTGTGTAGTTAGGCTTGTCTCCTCTTGTTACTACCTGTGCCAGATAACCCTACACCTACATATATAATACATTATGGACGTGACAGGTGATACTGGTGTTCTCAGTTTGGACTGCTAATTGAGCCTCCTGAGAGATGACTCACAACGAAGTCGGCATGGATATTATAACACAACAGACAAAAGACAATGACACTGTACCCGTGGTGTAGATTGTGGCCATTAGTTTAGATTGATCAGACTTAACATTATTTTTAGAAAATTATTCATTCTTTACTGATTTATAGAGATGTGGTGAACTAAATATACCTCTTAGTGAAATCCAGTACAATTCAACTGAACCACAAAGGTTATTGTAGGTTGGTATTCCTTGTTTGATTACAGCTGGGGACCCTTGGTGCATATCATATGTCTCTGCCCTCCTTTTTCCTGCTTCTATACTGTGGACCCTACAATAAAGACAAAATGCAAAACAACAAAATGATGATAAATATCAATTAAAAGCCAGGTGTCCCTTAAGTGTGTTTGGATTTCTGCTTTTGGGAAAAAGTTAATACTGATGTTATAGCGCCTTACAGTACTCCCAAATCCCCATTAAATTTATCCACAGGTTAATTGTCCCAGCAGATAAACTAGTTCATATTGCAGTTATCTTATCTGTGTACGTCAACTGATAAAATAACAAGAAATATTAGCACAGGGATGGCAGAGGTCTACTTCAGGTAATTTGAAACTATTTTTGGCAATCAGAAATCTCGCACAGTCTCAGTTCTTTAATAACTAAAGTTATCTTTATCAAAACATTTGTGTGCTTCTGCATAAAATGTGAATATAAGTTAATGCATTGTTAACAGACTTTTTAAACTCTTAAATATAATATTAATAATAACAATAGGTAAAACTTAATTTATATATTGCAATTGATGCATAAAATGCAACACAAAGTGCAGATAATCAAAACATTCATGACAGAGGAAAAAAGATGTTAAAAACAAAAGATAAAGTAAAATACTTTTGGTTTTATTGGTAATATGTTTTCTCCTGATTATATTATCACAAGCTGTGAAGTCACCATGACTTGTGTGCCTACTGAGGTCTGGCACACAGGTAACCCTGTGCATTCATAGCTGAAGTGGTTTTCCTTATCTGTCAGTAAGTCAGAGGTCTTGTAGTGAGCAAGCCGATTACTGTGTACATGGCTATGTTAGTCAAGCGGCTCTCTCGTAGTGCAGCAGCCAGCCTACAGGAATCAGAGAGAATCGGATCTCTTTGTTTTCAGTCCTTGAACCAAATTGAAACTTGAGAGCTCAGAACATGAAGTCCTCTCATGCTCTGTGTGAAAAGAGCCGCCGTTGTTGATGCACGACAAGAAATTCTTGCTGTGTCGGAAGAAGTAGGTTATGATGTTATAATACCTAGAGCTAATTGTCCAATAATGCATGCACAAAAGCTATCATTGTATGGTATGGCATGTAGAATGCTGCACACATATGTTAGCAATCATATCGTCCTGTGCAGCATTTTAACCAGTTTTATGCCAGAGCCCCCAGTTTGGTTCAGTGGGAATTTTTAACTGAGACTGTAGAACCAACACTCATTTTTAAAATGCTGATTTTAAATCTCACCTCACTCAATCATTATAAGATTATGGTTATGTTAAAAAAAAAACTGGTGGGTGGTTTTAGATTAATTTTTCAGTCTATAGAATAGTAAAAAAGTAACACATCTTCCTCACGGTCAAAACAACTGACTTCAAGCTGCTTGTTTAATCTAGCCAACAGTCCAAAGGGATTTATTATACAAGAGTACTATGAAATATTTGGCCCATTGATCAAATTTGATTAACTTTTTGTGGCAGACATGGACGCTGAGACCACCACCCACACCGAGCCAATGGTGGAGGAAGAGGAGCCTCTTTTCAGCAACCTGGACATCTTCCTCTTCACCCTGATTGTTGGCCTTGTCCTTTATTGGTTCATGTCCCGCAAGAAGCCCGAGCCCATCCCCGAATTCAAGAAGCTTGACACACCGTGAGTATCCATCACAGTATATGTTAATTATTAGTATTAGTATTAGTATTATTATATTGCAAGCCAGATCTAACTCTTAAGTAGTCTCCTGTATATGTATACACTAGGTTCCTTTCCTATTACGTAAATGCAGTTAGAAAAACAGTATTATCCTTCACTTAGATGGTATCAAGTTGTCTCTACATGCGCCCTGCAAGTGTGTGAGAGTGCACGGCTTGTAGCTTGTAAATGTGTCACTAGGAGCGACCTTTGTTTTCTCTGTCTCTTTGTCCTGCACTGTTACACAGTCCCTCTTCTCTCTCTCAGGAACTTATCTGATCTCCCCCTCTCTCTCCTGCGAGAGTGTCTCTAGGCCTCAGTTCACAATCATTAAATTTCAGCTGACGATTCATTGCCATACAGATAATTCTGATTAAAGATTTAATTGTCTTTTTGGTTTCATTTTATGCCACACTGTGGTGCTGTTGTGTTTGGCTTTGCAACTGTAAGTAAATTCATGTTGTTAATTTCAATGGCTGCTCAGAAAGCCAGTGTAAACTATTGCTTAATCGCAGGGGAGAGTATTTTGAATTCATCGATTCATTTTTGTTTTATTTTATGGGATACGGTTGGGTTTGAACAGATGAGTTTTCAGTCAGCGACAGAACATGTAGAGATTCTGCTGTCCTGATGTCAATGGGGAGTTTGTGCCACCATTGCGAAGTCAACGCAGCAGTCTTGACTTTGTAGAGTGCTAGCTGAGCCCCCTTCACTCCGAGGGAGTAGCAAGTTGATTTGCAGTAACAGAGCATATTGGACAGGCCATGTCATGCTTGTATGATGGGCCTGAGCCATTCACAATATGATAGGCAAGTACCCGTGTCTTTAATTGGATTTGAGCATCCACCAGGAGTGAATGGGGGATTTGGTGGAGCAGATTAGTGTGGAAGAATTTGGGAAAGTTAAAGATCAGCCAGGCTGCTGCATTCTTGGTGAGCTGCCGAGGTCAGATGACCTATTCAGGCGCACAAGCCAGAGGTGAATTGCAGTATATAGGCATGAGATGACAAGGGCCAGGACCAGAACCTGCGCCCCCTCCTGGGTGAGGAATGAATTTGTCCTCCTGTTGTTGTGGAGAATGAGTCAGAGGGAGTGGGTTGTTGCAGAGATGTTAGCAGCAAAAGACAGCTGGTTATCCAGTGTCACACCCTAGTCCTTGTAGTCAGAGTCACGGACACTACAGAGTTCCTAATGGTGATGAAGAGATGACGGATGGGAGATGCCTTTCCTGGAAGGAAGAGCAGCTCTGTGCAGACATCCACTCAGAGATGTCAGCCAGACGAGCAGAGATTTGTTGTGTCACCAAGGTTTCAGTCTGGGGAACAGACGAGAATAGTTGAGTGTCATCTGCATAGCTGTGGTTTGGTAGCTGAGATTTGGTGTAGAGAGAATCAGCTTATTAGAAAAGCTGGATGGAAGTGACAACTACAGAATAAATTTCCCCGTAGCTGTCCAAGACATTAATGCACTTTGGGGAGACCAAGAGCAGACTCTGCTATACGTTAAGAAACGTGTTACCAGCACCTCTCTGTAATCATCTTGCTTAAATATTAATGAAATAATATGAGGTGAAATGGAAGAACCTGCCCTAGGTCAAGACTACCAACCTGTCTTTTTCCATGTTTTTTCTTGACATAAGAACATTGTGCTCAGGTAGATGCTTTATTTGCCTCAACCAAGCAGATGGAAATGCACTTAATTAACTGTTACTTAATTAACTTAATTTCTGTTTGTTGGCACACTTGTAACCTTGGCTTTAAATTCCCTTCATGTGCACAATGATTGCAATCAGCTCAAATAATCACAATTAGGTAATTATGTAATAATGGCGTTAAGCCTACTCATCGCTTATTATTTGGAGTGGTGGAGGCTTGGCTTAATTTCACTGGACTCCCCCTCCAATGGCCACTTTTTTAAGCCCCTCCCCACCCACAACACAATTTCCTTGGTCACCATAGTAAAGCCTGGGGCCAGCAGCAGCCTCACTCATTGTGGCTGAGGTCTTGCGTAGCTATGTGAATGGAGACAGTGTTGGAGGACCGAGCGGGGGAGATCCTGACCATTTGTGTAGAAACAGAAGGCTGGCCCTGAAGGGGGGAAAGACCCCTGTAGAGCACGTTTTGCTTTGGGAATAGTGTGCATCTGTGGAGGGCGGGAATACAGGAAGGGAGCACAGAGCTGGTCTCCCCTCCCCTTAAAGGGAGCAGTGATTACCTAACTGTTATGAAGGGGGGCGTAGTCTTCCATGTCTTTCCTGTGCTTTTGTTTTTGGCCCTGAACCCATTTTGAAAGTTCCCTGGAGAGCAAACGAGGAGGGCGAGCCAAGCTGCTTTTGTGAGTCCTCTCCAAAGGTGGAAAGTTGAGGCAAAAGACAAGCAACCCTTTCTTTGCCCTGAGTTACTTTTTTTTTCATTCTTCTTCTTCTTTCCCCATTCCCCTGTTTTTCTTTTTAGTGTGTGTGTGTGTGTGCATGTGTGTGTGTGGGCTGAGCTGCTCTGCCATTGGAGAAAGGCCATGTCACAAATGGAATCCTTTTATGATAAATGAGGTTGCCATAGCAATGACATTCCCCTCTCTCCTCCAGTGAGATGGGGGCGGGGGATACTTTAGAAAAAAAAACTACCATTCACAGCTTTTTCCCCCCTCCTTCAGTAGTCCTCCGAGGAGTTGCTCTGATAACCAGCCAAATGCTCAGAATGGATCTTGTAGACTTTTTCGTTCCCAACACCTTTCAGACCGGAGAGGAAAAGGGGCGGGGATGAGGAGGAAGGCATTTTCAGCCCGTAGAGTGTTTCAGTGTGTGTTTGTGTGAGTCAAAAGTGTGGGTCTGCAGTTCGGCTACATTTTATGGGAAAGTCAGTTTCCCACCATTGTGTCCTCAGCGGTTGCCAGACACTGACAGGGCTTGTAGTCTGTGTGTGTGTGGAGTTCTGTGTGTGTAGAGAACAGACGCTGCTGATTTCAGAGAGCAGCACAGGAAGAGGCAGAGTTCAGATCGTGTTGGAGCCTCTGAGGTGAAGGCAGCTCTTCCAAATCTGCGAGTGTCCGGCTGTCTCTCTGGACTGGTTTTGTTTTTCCATCCTGTGGTTGTGGAGCGTTGACGTCCTGCTTTTGATTTTGAGCGTGGCGGTTCCCGGCGTGGCCTAGCCAGTGGTGCTAGTGGCAGTGGTGAGCTACAGGGCTGCATGCCATGGGCTGTGTCTTCTCCCTGCCAGAGGACAGGAGAGATGCTGCTGAGAGGTCAGTAAAGAGTCTGATTTACTGCTTCGTCTAAGGCCGACTAATGATTCTTGTTTAAAATAGTAGTAAATATTTGTCACTGGGTATTGTTTAGTTTGACAGACGGAGATCACACGTGTGCGTTGAAGTTTTTCAGTGACACCTTGTGAGTGATTTGTACAGTAAATGTTGAACTTGTGGCTTGTTCCCAGATTAAGCTCTACACTAAGTGTATTTTGCCTTTTTCTCGCACACACAGTGGCGAGATAGCAGTTTCAAAAGCCATACAATGTTCCCAGTAGGTTATGTAAGAGATGGTCATGAAATCTGTTCGACTACAAACACAATTTGATTATTGGGGCTTCTGTTTTTTTCTCCCCTTTTCCACAAGCTCCTCAAACACTGCTCCGTTAGCCATCATTGTTTCGCACATTTCCACCTTGTTTACATTTATTAGGGCTTTTAAAATTAATAGCCAGAAACATGTCATTGGTTGTAACATCCTAAAATCACCTCCATGTTTGAGTGCTGCAGGGCAAGACTGATGTGACTTACTGTGCTTGTTTGAAAAGGTTTACTTCCTGTGTGGATGAATGAATGGAAAATTAGACAATATACACAGATGATGAGCTCTGGACTGTTTGGACTAAACTGTAAATTACTCAAACAATGACTGAATGCCAGCATGAGTGAGTGTGTTTACACGTGGGACTCGAGCCATTGCAGGAAGGAAAAGGTGTTTGAGATCATGCATTTGCATGTTATCAGCGTCAAACTGGCGTGGCATATTACTTTGTTCCTGTTTTAGGAATGCTAATATTCAAAACGTGTGATATGCAAAGACAACTTTGTCTTCCTTGAATGATGGAATTTACACTTAGCTCCAGAGAGCGGCCCGTATTAACCACGGGGGCTCATTTTTATGGCATGTTGGGCATCAGTCCCACATGCCTCCACTCTGCACACCGCTGTTCCTTAGGTTGTAAATTGTTTGACTAAATGTGTGTTAGAGGTCAAATATAGCAAATTAGTATATTGTGTCTACTCGTAGCGTTCATGGCTATCCTACAGCCTTGTTGCTTTTGGATATGGAAAATCAGAAAACATTCATCTGGCGTACTATCTCTGCTTGTAGTTATGTGTGGCCTTTTTAATCCTTTCTCAGTGCAGCTGTCCACTTGGAGCTTTGATGCTGAATGAAGCGGCACTGCCTTTTATTCAGCTCCATAATAGATTTACTTCCCTTTTTTACTAACACACATGTTGTTTTGATCTGTTCCCGTCCATTAATTACTTCCTGGATGAATCTGAATCAATATTTTGAATTACCATGAGCTGTAACCTGAAGTTATCATGAATCAACCACTTCACGCTTTTTAATATTGGAAAACTGCATGATGTATGCTAATGTTTAGCACATGCCTTGTACATATAGTTAATATGACTAATGCTTGTATGGCTGCTGAGTCATTGCTCTGCTTCTCCCTGTTGTTAGCAACAACACTAACAATGACTGGACAGTTTAACCATGTTACCCCGAGAGTTTTGGCAGCACATTTATTTCAATGCTGATTATTTAAATTCACAAGTTGCTATTAAGAGAATATGTTTTTGAAATGATTATATATCGCAGTATGGCGAATGAATAAGGGAATCACATAAAATTAAACCAAAGAAATCTTGCAATACATCAGATGAAGCTCTTCATGTGCATAAAACAGATTCAGTAACTGATAAGTGTTAAAAGATTCTGTGTTTTACACTCAGGGCATTCATATAGTGGCCAATGGCTGTTTGCTATGTAAAGATGTAGTGGAATAATGGCATCCTGAACAGAGAGTGAGGTCATGCTACCTCTGTGTATGTTGTGATCTGAGCTTTTCTGTGGTTTGTTGTGGTAGACGCTCTGGCTGCATGTCCATGTTAGTGCATGTGTGTATCCTAATGGCTAGCTCAGGGCTGCTGTTTTGCACTGCGTTCACACGGTGGTTACCCGTGATGTCGGGATGGCGTCATCGAGGAAGCATAGCGCCCACCAACTGCTTCTGCCCTGGTTAACACCATTAGCTCTGTCAGCACTGCTGCTGTTGTTTAGCACAGTTAATGGACTTAGCACTGTTAGCTGCTAGCCACCGGCTCAGCCACCCTCATTCTGAGAATCCTGAGCACTGTTACAATCTGACTTTTGCAATTCTGATCATATGACTTGTGACGATGCAGTTTTCCTAAAGGTCAGCAAAATATTAAGTTGATAGATCAGCCAGTTTTACTCTGATGTTTGTTACGTAGTAGATGATGCAGTTGGGAATCACCAGAGGCCCCATGATACCATAGATATGCTGAGTACACATATTGCAATTTATTACCTTTTTTTCCAACTGTGAATTGTTTCCCAAAGGAAAACTTTGTCAATATCTGTTTAATCTTTGGTTCATTCATTTTTCTTTTTGAACTTATTATTTATTCAATGTATAGCACAAAACACTTAACATAAAGTACAATACGGAGGAGATGTGTACATCAAAATTCACATCTTAAACCCTATTTTAGGTTTTCTCATGCTCACATTCAACAATGGTAAACACATCTACACAAGTGATATCATTTCCTATAGTACACCTTGTATGTCGGTGCAAAAACCCTACATTTAAGAGCACAGGAAATACACCTATATGTAGAGCAGGGCAGTAACAATAGTACCAATTTAAAAAGCAAACAAAAGGACAAAGAGCGGTAGCTAGAGTTCTGGCATTGCCCGTTACCAGGGACCATTGTTCATTAAACTCATCCATGTCCAACTGTAATCTTGCTTTGAATCTTCACATTAAGTTTTATTGCAGCAAAATGCATGAAGTGGACTGAAAATCAAACAGTTTTATTATTCTAGTAAGCTGCCAAAGTGACATTTGTATTTGCAATATTTAAACTTTATAAAGGCTAATTAAATATTAATACATGGTGCGTCAGTCAGTGTTCCCTTCCTGTTGTCTGGTTGAAGGTACGAGCTGTGATGTAGATGTCAGTAAAATGATCAAATCTCATGATCCTGCACCAGAAGACAGAACCTGCTGGCACTCAGATTTATTGACAGATGGCCACATCATTGCCAGACTAACACCAGACAACAGCTAAATGTGCATTTCTGGTGTCCTGTAGTGCTGTTAAAGGCTTGTTTACACCAGTGATGTTTGTGGTTAAATCAGTAAAACAGGCCTCTATTTCCACTTGGAAAAGTCAAACTCTTTACTATGTTGTGAATTCACCTCAGATTTATACAGATAAAAGATTTAGTAAGGTGTTTGAATTAAAAAGAGTACCTCCAACTCTCCAGTGTGAAAATTATCGAACTGCACTGTAAATAAAAGTAGGATGACCTTGGGGGCGTCAGTGGCTTAGCTGGTGGAGCACTGAGCAGGCACCCCATATAGAAGGCTGTTGCCACAGCGGCCTGGGTTCGAGTCCAGCCTGTGGCCCTTTGCTGCATGTCATCCCCCCTTTCTCTCTCCCCCCTCAAACGTACCTGTCCTGTCCATTAAAGGCAAATGCCCCAAAAAAAGTAGGATGACCTTGTAAATAATTATTTCATGAGTCGACACTTTCTCTCTTCATTTCCTAAAACTGATGTTTGGTGAACGTGGTCACTGCTTTATAGTTTTAAATAACAAGTCTAACCTGTTTTTTTTTTCTTCCAGAACACCCACCACAAGAGAGACCAGTTTCATTGAGAAAATGAAGAAAACAGTGAGTGACGTTACTTAATCCTTCCCATCACTTCTGCTTCGGTTGTGTTCTGTGTCGACCATCTCATGTTTCCAACACACATATATTCACCAGGAGCAGTTAAGTTGCTATTGTTTCAAAACATTACTCAGGGTATTTAACGTTAAACCAGGGGACTGTTTCAGAAAGCAGGTTTCGTGACAACTCCAAGTTAGTTGACACTGAGATGAGGGAAGCTCTGGGTTTTCAGTTTCAGAAAGAAAGGTTACTTAAACTTTGGTTTAGTTACTGTGGAAACTTGACTCTGTGAACCTAACTTGCTCACTGGCAACAAATCCTGAGTATCTCTCCGTGTTCTTCCTTCTGACAGAGCTGAACACGATGTTTCATTTCCTCCTTGATTCAGTCCGTGTCAAAGCGCATATCAAAGCGCATTAATTAGAGGTTTAGGTCTGTCAACATCAAAATCCTGTTTGGAAATTAGTTTGTTACTCAGGACTGTCTTAAGTTACCGCTTTTATGAGCTGTCAGTCATTTCAATGAACAGAGGGTTTTACCCTCATGGTAAAATATTTAACTGCATAAAGCCAGTCCTAATCTCTATACTCGGATACCTACATTTTTATGCTTAATCGTTGTCAGATGATGGGTTCTGAGTTTGAGTTTGTCCGTCTTTTTGCGAGTGGATTGTTTTTTTTCTAGGTTAAACTGTGACTCTTTACAAGACAGCTGTTAGTTTGTTAGAGCACTATCGTTATTGGGCGGGAGGTGGGGTACACCCTGGACAGGTCGCCAGACTATCACAGTGCTGACACATAGAGACAGACAACCATTCACACTCACAATCATACCTATGATCACCTATGTGAATTTATAACATTTGTTAAAGTAGCTGAAACAAAGCCACCGAAAGCTTTTGAGCCAAAGATCCAAATAGATGTCACAAAAAGTATTTTAACCCCGTACCTTTTTAAGTGTAAATCACCGACCACATTAATACTGGTCCAGACTGGTGTGTCGGTGGCTTAGTGGAAGAGCAGGCGCCCCATGTACAAGGCTGTTGCCGCAGCGACCCGGGTTCGACTCCAGCCTGTGGCCCTTTGCTGCATGTCTCTCCCTCTCTTTCTCTCCCCCCCTTTCGCACTTGTCTGTCCTATCAAATAAAGGCTAAAAAGCCCCAAAAAATATCTTAAAAAAAAAAAATACTGGTCCAGACTGTGGGCTTTCAGTTGTGTCGCCATGTCTTTGATTTATGCATTTTTCCAATCTTCAACTATATTTTCCATCTTCAGTTGCTTGGTCCTTTGTTTTGTCCCCGTCACATTAAAGCTGTACAAATATATTTAAAATGTGATGTAGGTTGTGGCCTAAATGATGGATTAATGAACATCACTGAATAAACCGTCATTATGTTAACTTAATGATGCCTCTCCCACTCTGACTCAGGCTCTTTTTAAAAAGAATATATATATATATATATATATATATATATGCAGAGCCTGGCAATAGATGCATTAATATCTCCATGTCCACTGGATTAAAATGGAGGCTCTTCCTTTTATTTGTCGCCATGGTGAATCGTAGTATCAGAGCTCCATTGATAATGTCTTTTTTTACACTGATCAGCGTTTCCGAAACTGAAATCTCAGAGTCTCCATCTCAGCGTTCATCAACTCAGAGCTCAGGCTTGGACTCAGAGTTTGTTAACCCTTCTTTCTGAAACTGGGCCCTTGACGTTGTTTTCCCCAGTTAAAACCTGTTTGATGTTCAAGTCAAAGTACTTCAGATAAAAAGTGGGATTGTAGTGTTCAAGTAAATTTAGTTTTTCTCCTCTTTTGCTCTTTTGGATGGAGCTAATGATGACTGTAATGGTCTCTCTGCCAATGTGATTATACCATATGGAGGTTTGGATTACAAAACACTGTTTTGACTTTGATGGTCCTCTGTTCTCAAGGCAGCCTTGAGAAAAGACTTGTAGTTTTGAAACATGTGGTTTTGCAGCAAATAGTTCAGATACCATAATGGTGGCAGAGAAGAACTTTAGTCCGCAGTGCCATTTAATTTAGTCTCTGTTTTTCTTTGTTATGAGTTATCGTAGCAACACTGTGGGAAAGGAGAAAGTATGTCATGATTCCCGCAAATACATGTGCAGATGTAGCTGTTTGTTTATGTCAAGACAAGCTGTATGTCGAAGAAATGTTTGGTTGTTTGTCTGTCTGTCTTTGTTTGTTATTTGCTTTGAAATGAAGTCCAATCATGGGAAGCTTCTTTTTTTTGTTCATCATGCAGTTTGGGTTATATCATCTCCCTGTCATGTGCAGAAGTAGTCTAGTTGGCAATGGAGAAAGTACATTCTGAATATATTTTAGATGATTTCCAAAGATCTGCAGCATCTGTTGTGCTTGCACATTGTCTGTGTTTGATAAAGCAGCCTGTCAGACATGAGAAATGGCTCAGCTTTTTATTGTAGTCGTCTGAGAAGGCTTTGACATGTCCCGAGTAAATGCTTTTCTGTCAATCTGTAACCAGGGCAAGAACATCATTGTGTTCTACGGCTCCCAGACGGGCACAGCAGAGGAATTTGCTAACAGACTGTCCAAAGACGCTCAGCGCTACGGCATGAAAGGAATGGCTGCCGATCCAGAGGAGTACGAAATGGTAATTTGCATCAGTGGAACAACACACAAACCACAGAATTAAAATTAACCGAGATCCTCCCCATTCTTTTGGATCTAACTTAATATAGCTGCCAGTTAATTATTTGTGACAGTTTCATCATGGAAAAAGTATCAGTGCAGTGCTGAGGACTGCAGAAGTCATTTGGTTAACACCTCAGTGGTTATAATCTGATTCTCCTGCATTTTCCAGACATGAGACTTCAGTCATTTTGACGATAATATAATACATATCCCCTGGCAGATTGTACACCAGCCAAATAACAATTTATAGTAACTGCCAGAGTAATACAATCTCTTCTAATTCACTGTGCTGAAATAAAACATGTCCACACAAGTCAGTGTATGAAAGACACACAAAGACGCAGCAGGCCTATATCCTTATGTGTATGCTATTACAATCACAGTAATATGCAGTGCACAATATTATAACCTCAGGCTTTATCCAAGAAGGTGTTGCAACACTGCTGTGGGAACCATCATTGACATAGATAACATACCTGGGTTTGTTTGTCATTTAATGACTTATACACAGGACGTCATGGAGAAAATCAAAAACAATATTTCTGACCAAATACCTCAATATCGATTTTGCTGTGATATTGTAGGGTTGACTGTTTGTGCTTTTATAAAATATTTACACAATGAGATTTTTGATACATAATGTGAATTTAATGACTAAGTGGGTAAAAGCAAATAATAGAACAGTTAGGTAAGTTCAGGAAATTATATCACTTTACCATAATGTAGCCTTTAAAACCAGGAAAGACATAGTGCGGACACATGAATGCCAGTAACTCCCACATTTTTTGGTGTGTCCAAGTATTTCTGAGAAAAATATGTTCAATTATAAAAAAAATTTTGGGATATACCTATTGATGTTAAGGTCCTGTGTTTCAGTGCAATAAGCGAAGACGTGATTAATAAAAAGTTGGTATTTGTGTAAAATACTGTTTACTGCCAGCAAGAAAGCAGCACAAATCTGAGCCTCTAAGCCTTAAACAATGGATGGACATAATCAAGGAGATCTTTATAATAGAAAAGATGACTTTCTCCAGTCTAGAGGAGAAATGTTCCCCCAATGTGAGAAGTAGACAGTCTTTGTTTCAGAAACTGTGGACGCAGCTTCACTGTGAATGTCTGCAGACAATAAAAGTACATTTAACACGTGGACTCATGATTACTCAACCTCCACACAGTGTTCTCCATGGTGTTTATGTTTTATCTAAACATCTAAATATTTTAAATCTAAGACCATATCTAGTCTCATATCATGATATTGATATTATATTAATATATTGCCAAACTCTTCTTGCACGTTCGCTGTCAGTACGCCTCTTGAGACAGCCAGACAGATTTTAAATACAAACTTCCTTACATTATTACTTTATCAGTGCTCACTGTCGCTGATTATGATGTCTCATCTTCCAGGGGGAGCTGTCCCGTCTATCTGACATTAAAAACTCCCTCGCCATATTTTGCATGGCCACCTACGGTGAGGGAGACCCAACAGATAACGCTCAGGACTTCTACGACTGGCTGCAGGAAAATGATGATGAAGACCTCTCTGGACTGAACTACACTGTGAGTCTTTATGCTTACATTTTGTATACGTTAAAGGGAAATTTCAGTTTATTTCAACCTGTCTCCTATCATTCTAAATTTGTTTCAAGTGACTAGTGACATAAAAATAATAGTTAGCATGTTAGCTGTTAGCCTAGATACAGCCGGGCACATAGTAGCGTCAGACCTGTTAAAACGTAATTGAACGGGCATCCTTCAAGTGCAAAGTTAGTCCACTAAACAAGCTTTTTTTCCACAAAGACCGCCTCATATCGTTAGGATAAAAGTCAGAACATATAGAAAACGACATGTAAACGTGTTGTCTTACCTTACCGGTGTGCTGCCATGTTTGTTTACCATTTAGCTCTGCTTTCCAAAGCGCGGCCGAAATATCGCGAGAACAAGCAGCGATCTCATAGCGTGCCTGAACAAGCAGCAACAGCTGGAAGGCAGAACCGGACAGTAGCCTGAAAAGTTCATTCATTTATTTTATGAAAGATTTATAGAATAATGGCTGACTTTTTGCCAGACTTCGACTTTGTGGAGGAGGAATTTGATTTTGCAGAGTTTTATGGCCGCCCTTATTTATTTGAGCCAGAATGCACTGATGAAGAGCTTCGTGAAATTGAAGAACGGAGGAGGAGAGAGAGAGAGGTGCAACAGGTAGAGGACGAGAGAGGAGGAATGGCTGCTGCAAGGCTGCGTAGCTCTGGAGATTGGTGGTGTACCTGTGAATGCTGTGCCCCAGTGCCCACAGAAGAGGAATGCCTCTGTTGCAAGGAATGGGACCGGTTGCAGCCTTATTTTCAAGGTCTGGATGTGACCGAGGACGAGACACCTCCACCTGGAGTAGTATCCAGCTGGGCTTTATCTAGAGCTTGCGAGATATATTTCGGGCACGCTTTGGAAAGCAGAGCTAAATGGTAAACAAACATGGCAGCACACCGATAAGGTAAGACAACACGTTTACATGTCGTTTTCTATATGTTCTCTGACATTTATCCTAACGATATGAGGCGGTCTTTGTGGAAAAAAAGCTTGTTTAGTGGAGTAACTTTGCACTTGAAGGTTGCCCGTTCACTTACGTTTTAACAGGTCTGACGCTACGGCTGTATCTAGGCTAACGGCTAACATGCTAACTATTATTTTTATGTCACTAATTACTTGAAACAAATTTAGGACGATAGGAGACAGGTTGAAATAAACTGAAATTTCCCTTTAAGTTTCCTCTCAAACACTTATTGTACACACTTACAAGAATGTTGAGAATTGTCAAAATCTTAAAATGTACCTATATAATATTTGTGTTGGTGTTAGTGGTTCATAAACATGTTGGTGTTAGATTGTGTACTGTGCATGATGTCTATACAAACAGTGCTACCCTCTGTTCTGCGTGTGTATCTGTTGGTTTGTTGAAGCTTATGCTGCAGCTAAAAGTTATTTTAATTATCAAATAATAAGTCAGTTATCTTCTCAATTAATGGTTTTGTTGATGCAACATCGGAAAACAGAGAAACATGCCCATCACAAAATTATAGAGCCCAATATAAGGTCGTCAAACCCAATAAAAACAATTAAATTTAGTGAGTAAAGACCAAGAGAAGCAATTAAATCTCACCACTGAGAAACCATGAAACATTTGGAATTAGAAATTACTGTAACATTTAATCAGAATATTTGCTTTAGATTGACTAATGGACGCATCGTTGGTGTTAAAATCATGTGAGCTCAGCTGATGTAAATGACGATGGAAAAATATTCAACTCGGACCACTGGTACACACATGCTGGAATTGCAGTACCCCTGTCATGAACATAAAGCATATGAGTCACATGCATATTCAGATTTACTTCACGATTGCTGCTCCGCGGCCTGTTTATTTTGTCAGCCACGCTATGTCACTTTGCCTCGCCAGCCTATATCGCTGATGTACAGCACTCAAGCCTCTCCAGCATTAGCTGCGTCAGGCTTTGTGTGCATCATGAATGAAAGGGCTTTGTGTGTTGTGTTGTCTGTTCTGTCTGTGCGTGTGTGTCATTGTGTCGAGGGCTGGGGTGCAGAGTCCCTGACCTTATTGGAGTGAGGAACATGACTGTGGGAAATCAAGCTAAAGTGTGGAGAACTGTCACGTCCTTCCTGCTGTAGTTTATCTGGTGTCTCAGGGCTGTATCAGAGTGACTGCATACATTACATTCCCTGAGAGATGGCTCAGGGTCTCTTGTAAGACATTATTCACTGTGGCATGTACCAAATAGTTTGAAGCAATGTTGGCATTCAAATTCTAAGCCTACAATTGAATGCTCTGCAGCTTTTTTGCAAGTCTTTTCATTGTATTTGAACCCTTTATTTCCACACAGTTGCAGGCCACACTAAAATTATTAGTATCATACTATTTGTAGAATTAGATTCCAGTGGTGGTTGCGTAGGATTGTTTCCAAAAGTCCAAAAGTCAAAATATATCAAAAGAATATGAGTTTAATCCATTCCAAATTTCAAAACATGCTTTTATCTAATGAAATATTTTGCTTCAGTCCAAACATGTTGGTGTTTAGCCTTTCAGAAACAACAATTGACTACAGTAAAAAAGCCTGTTTACCGCACATTAAGGGAGGTACGCACCTGTATTAACAGGATGTTCTAGCAGCACCGTAAATTACATTTATTCCTTCAAGAAAGTTGATTTAATTAAAACATACGTACTCATTTCATCAGATGAACCACTTACTTCAAACTGAGGATTTTGTTTGAGAATTCATTATTGTTTTAGGGTGATGACATTATAACATATGACAGAGATTTTAAGCGTCATTTGAAAACCTCAATAGCAGCTTCAACTGTCAAAAAACATCAGCATAGCCCTAATTGCATATTTCCTCGTTCATCATTCTATTTTAGTAGAATAAATGAAAAAACTTGATTGACGTTCACATGGTAACTGAAAAGCCATCAATCATCTGCACTGCTTGATTGTTTAACTGTGACAGGTTTTAGATTCATCGCCAACACGGATTTCAAGTTCATCATGTGATGTTATTTCCATTATAAATGCTTCCAAAGTCACACACACTGATCTGTTCTGTCTCCAGGTATTCGCTTTGGGCAACAAGACATATGAACATTACAATGCAATGGGAAAATACGTTGACAAAAGGCTCGAAGAACTCGGGGCCAAGCGCATCTTTGATCTTGGCTTAGGAGATGATGATGGCAAGTAAGTGACCTGTTGATCCTCTGAGTCAAAAGGGACGTGATGACTAAGCATGTCTCTGAGTGTAGAGGTGTTCAGCGCAGCACAAGTGAGATGCTGTGGACCATAATCAGCAATCCTTTAATCATACTGTAGGCAGCCAAACTATCATGTCACCTTCTTCTGTACACAAACTATCTTGAAATGTACTGAACACATTGGTCCTTGTTAACTTGAGGTTATTTTATAATTCCTTCAAGACAAAATGTACATTTTAACCCAAAAATCACAATAATCATCAGTATGTTTGCTGCATCAACCACATACTTACACACATATATAAGAAAAAATCAGCATGTTGGGCCCAGTCGTAGGTCTTGTCTTGGTATTTTCAAAACACAGAACATCATCTTGGAGTATTTTAAGGGCTGGGACACATGCTGTGTCTATTACTGCCTGGAAACCATGGAGTCGGGCGCCACTCTTGTGCCTACACTGTGCCAGCTCTCAAGGGCCAGAGGCAGGTTGTGCCTGATGTGTCCAAGCAACCATAACCAGCACTGCACTGCATCACAGCTTACTTACCGGAAATTTCGAGTTTGGAGCTGATCTTCTTCCAGGCATGTTTTTTAAGTGTGTTTTTGGCCTAAAATGTTGTCTGTGGGACAGATGTGAAGCTCTGGGGAACCCTGCACCAAAATAAATGATCAACTTAATCTTCACAGTTATTGTACACTGATATTTTCGGAAGAAAGGAAAGATGTCTTTTGGCTGTAATTAGTTGCTACTTGTCATATGGTGTAGTGCACATTGCTACGTTTCAAAAGTTGAACTTTGTTTATCTCAGGGAGCAGCTGTCATGCCCTAAAAAATAGGTGCTTGGGAACGCTTGCTGCAACGGTGTCGCTCTTGCTTTGGAGCACAACTTCCATGTGTGTACGTTGACGACAGTGGATTTGAAGGTGCCTTAAGTCTTAAGAAACATCAGTATTTATTTCCATGCCTCCGCTAAGGTGATAGCTGTGGCCGGAGGCATTATGTTTTTGGGTTGTCTGTATGGATTCAAGTATGAACCACTTAGATTTTGTTGGTCAAAGGTCAGTGTGACCTCACAAACAGTGGTTTTGATCAAAACTCAGAAATAATGACATTTTATATCCCAAAGCTCAACTTCACTTTGACATCATAATGTTCTGCAAAATACTTGTCTTGACATTATTAAACATCACAACTCTGGAATAGAACGAGAGACATTTGGTCAGATACTGAATCGGTGACACGAATATTGGGTCTCCGCCTTGAAACTTTGCTGACTGTACAGAACTTCTGTGCTGCTGGTGGCAAGATGTGTTTGCCAAAAAAATACACTTAATACGTTCTATTAAATTCCTTCAAAGTATTCACTATTTATATTATATGAGCCTGGATAGACATGGATGCAAACTGTAACGTGACTGGTTGGCATCTAGTTTTCAACAGTGCACATGGTTATCATCTCAGTACAATGTCTAGTTTGTGAATTCAGACATCTTCCTCAGCTAACTCGATTGGTTTTGTTTTTCAGTTTGGAAGAGGACTTTGTTTCATGGAGAGAGCAGTTCTGGCCGGCCGTCTGCGAGCACTTTGGAGTGGAAGCCTTGGGAGATGAATCAAGGTTCAGTCATGAACAGTTTCTCCTTTTATGCGTTTATCTTTCATCATTTCAAATTCCCTTTTTGTCCCCATCAGTCTTTAAGTTGTCTTATCTTTACCCTTAAGTTTTTTTTCCTACCTTCACCCTTTACCAGCTCTGTATTATCTTTGAGTTGTGAACATTAAACAGATGACGTCACGCAAGAGGAAAGCTTGTACATTAACACTAATTTATGTGGTCTGAATTAAAGGTTAAGTAAGGTAGTTTTCATGTAATGCCTGTTTTTCAGTAAGAGAAGGGGGCTGTATTTTCAGGTTTGCTATGATTCCTTAAGTAGAGTTTCCATGATGACTCCAGACTTCAGCTGAGGTTTAAATAAAAAAATAACCACAGACTGAAGTTACAGCGTGATCGCCACACACTGATAAGCCAGTGTGAGTTATCGTTTACATCAGTGTCACATGGTCATAGTCCACTCAAACTCTTTTTTTAAACGCCCATGTTTTGACTAAGACGTGACTTGTTATATAATGCTAAATCAGGACATATCTGATTTCTGATAAACCCCACCTATCTGTCTGTGAAATGAACAAATACAAAGAATCATTTTTAAGGTGTTTTTTTAGTTAAGTGGGCAAAAAGCAACAGCAACTGGCAGATTTAATTTTATTCCACTAAGATCTAAATTGATTTCACTGTGTGTGTATATGCAGTGTCTGAGGAAGCTAACTTGAAATCCTTTTCCCTCACAGCATACGGCAGTACGAGCTGAAGGAGCACACTGACATCAACATGAACAAAGTGTACACAGGAGAAATTGGCCGCTTGAAGAGTTTCGAGGTCCAAAAGCCGTGAGTACCGTAGCAAAGAAATTGCTCACTGCCAGAAGTCATTCATCATTAAAGCGCTGTCTGCTCATTCATTGCTCACATTTCACCCACATTTATAACCAACCACAAAGTTTACCAAAGGTCACTGTTGGAAAATGAAGCTTTCTGCCTCCTAGTGGACGGAGGAGACACATTTCTGCAGCTTTTCTTTAATCAAATAGTCTTTAATCAAAAATCTTTAATAATACATTTATTTATAGAGTGATAGATCTTTTTAATTTTTGATTTAAATGAGCTTTTACATCTCTTTAGTGACCATGCTCAACCCTTTGTGATAACGTTTTGACATATAAGTGTTGCTTTTTTATTTGTAGGCCCTTTGATTCGAAAAACCCTTTCCTGGCTCCAGTCACTGTCAACCGCAAACTCAACAAAGCAGGGGACAGACATCTTATGCACTTGGAACTGGATATAACAGGCTCCAAGATCAGGTGAGACCTGTTGGATATAGCTGAAGTTAATGTCTGGATTATGCTTTTCATATAACTACGTAGGACCAGATGAAAAAAAAATCATGTTCTGCTGTGAGACTTTATGAATACAGGTTAAAGTCTGAATTTTTCACCATCTGTGATTTCAGATATGAGTCAGGAGACCACGTTGCTGTTTTCCCCACAAATGACTCTGCACTTGTGAACAAACTGGGACAAATCCTTGGAGTGGACCTTGATGTGGTTATCTCTCTAAACAACCTTGATGGTATGGCATTGAACGCCAGCGGCACATTGACTTCCCTCGCTTGTCCCTGAAACCCTCTCACGAAAACCTCCCTTGATATCTACACGCGACATCTGCCAATGAGTGGTATATTGTTATATGACCGCTATTGCATGTTATTGCTGTAATATTAAGTGTTGACTCTTCTTAGGAATTAATGTTCCTCCTGTGGTCATGAAGATCACCACGTGTACTCTGTAGTGGCACAAGTAGCATTTAAGGCAGCTCCTGTTCAGTGTTTATTAACATCATTGAAAATGACAGTGAGTGCTTAAAGGGGTAGTTGAAGTTTTATAAAGTGGAATTTTATCAGGTGCTAATCAATAGGCAGTGTGTTACATACAGTAGATGTTACCCCAGTTTGGAGAAGCAGACAGGAGTACTGCAACGGAAGCTAAGCAGTGATGGGTGCAGCAGCAAAATAATTAAGCCGCGTAGAAAAAGGCCTACGTAAAAAAAGTGAATATTGGTGTAAGTGGACGCTATATTGAGAATATTTTCACTTTACCTTGCCACCAGGCTGCTCTTTCTTTTGGCACTACATTTTCTCAACTGTAGAACTTCTGCATTCCTACGCATGTCTGTCTTTTGGCCCGTTCTGTCTCCTTTTGCAGAAGTTCTTCTTCTGTATACTCCTCTTGTCCCCGCAGTGAACAGCGCTTTATTGTTGCTGTTGTTGTGTCTGTTGTCTCCTCTGTAAAGATCTGAAAGTCTGACCCAAACCGCTGATCTGCGGCATTTATGGAGTAAGATTAAGATGTGAAAATATTCCCAATATAGTGTACACTTAGTTACGCCCCCGTCAAAGGGAGTAAGGGCGCAACATGAAAGTGCACAAGGCTGTTGCCTCCCCGGTCCCCAAACCAGACAGCTCAACGCAGCAATTACAATTCAAAGTTAAAGTATTTATTATCGTGTGAAAATTAACTTAGTTTAACAATAATGTGAAGCAAAAATAACTCCAGGTGGACCAAGGCCAAAATGACAAACAAAACTACTATCTAAACCCCAAACATACTAACTAGACATTCACTAAATCTGGCTCCCTAGGATGCATCAGAAAACATGACAGAAGTGTATAAAATAAAATGGCAGCCCACCCCTACAGCTTCAAAGTTAAGGTAAAAATAACAAAAGTAAACTAGTACCACAAACAGTCTGTTAAATGCTCACAGTCTGTTACACACACTAACACTCACTATGATGGCCCACAGGAGGCACAATCAAACACTACCGAAATACAAATCTCTAGATTTAACAAATACACAATACAGGAGGTTTGGAGGCTGAGGACAGGAACGCCGCTGCTGTCAGACATCCGGATTGTTGGGAAGCCATGGGTTTAAGCCAACAGACTATAGTAGTAGAGGAGCCAATCAGTGGTCGACACATTCAGACCGAGCCCACACTGCCAGCCAATCAGCACTCCACACCTGACGTAGAAAGGAGCACTCACTCTCACAGTCAAACTTGGGAAAGACACAGAAAAACTGATACACGTCAAAATATGGCCAGAACCGTAACACACTGAGAAGGATGTGAATAGTTTTAGGTGGCTAAAATACATTTTTGCTGCTAACCCTATCCACAGCAGTACATAGCTCAGCTACTGTGTCAGCACAACTGCCTGTTTCTCCAAACTGGGGCTGTGCTGACCTCCATGTAGTGAAGGTATTACACTGACTATGGATTGGTGTTATCACAATACTGGAATTTCTAACTTCAGTACAGTACCTTGAAAATGATTGAAATTCAGTTCCATTTCAATATCACAGAAACAAATTACATTGAGGGCACACACCTTAAATTTTTTTTATAACATGACAACTATGGCTTTTTCTTTTTTGGTTAGTAGCAGAGAAAAGCAAAATGACTGCAGTAGAGAATGTGGTGCTGGTACCAGTGTATCGATACTGCAGAATATTAGTATCAAAGTTGTTTAAAATATGCGGAATCGATTTGTATCCCTGCTCTGGATAAGTACCTTATACTATCCTGCTTCTAAAATCTGAACTCTCCCTTAATAATGAAAGACTTGTTGCACAATCTGAGATAATCACTTTATAACTTCCTGTACATGCGTGTATTTTATAAGCCCCAATCAAAAATTAACTTGAACAAAGCATGGTTGGGTAATGGTGATCTGTACTCCGTAGATTAATCAGAGCAGTATCACCTGTAGTGTTGGCATTATATTTATATTTTGCCCTTCACAAGTTTTTATTAAACATTTATGACGGTTTGACCATGAAATGAATGTTCTAGATACCCAATAAAATGTATTTATTTTATTTTTCAGAGGAGTCAAACAAGAAGCACCCTTTCCCTTGCCCCACCACCTACCGCACGGCCCTCACTCACTACCTGGACATCACACACCCTCCTCGCACCAACGTCCTCTATGAGCTGGCACAGTACGCCTCTGACCCCAAAGACCAGGATAATATGCGAAAGATGGCCTCTTCCTCACCTGAGGGCAAGGTCAGTGTGAGGAAGTAAAGCTCATGTTACACAAACACAGCTGCAGTTACATCTCGCCCATCTCTGTGTGTTATCAATGCCCTTTTTTCAATCTGTCTCAACCTCTTACACCACCTTTTTGTTGCTGCCTCTCTACAGGCACTCTACCAGAACTGGGTGTTGGATGCCAGTAGAAACATCCTCGCCATCCTGGAGGATATGCCTTCTTTGAAGCCTCCCATAGACCACCTGTGTGAGCTGCTGCCTCGTCTCCAGGCTCGCTATTATTCCATCGCCTCCTCCTCGAAGGTAGTTCCCTGTTAAATCACCCGAGAGAGGCAGAGTCACATCATTTTTAACTTGTCAATGACTTCATTTTTAAAGATTCTTTGATAGTATTAGCAGCAAAGATGCACAAAAATGTCGGTCACAGTTATAGACCGTATAAATGTGGATGTAGCCACCATGACATCACCCACCGGTTTGTGGACCACCATTTTAAAGCCTCAAGTTTGGCATTTTGGCAGTTGCCATTTTTTTGGAGCCAGAAGTGACCATATTTGGAGGAGAGGGTGGAGCTGTGGAGGATAGGCATTGCTGTGCTTTTGTCCTGATTGACAGGTCGCCATGGTAGCCACGCTCTTTAAAAAAATGCCCTCTTTTATTCTCTGTTTACTCCAAATGGGACCACAGCTTACAAAACGAACATCATTCTGTACTTGAAACTTGTGATTATGACCATAAACTTGTTAGGAAAATGTTTACTGAGGTGATAATTCAAGTGAGAAGTAGAGTTATATTCTCAGACTTCTGTACAATCAGATGTATTTTTGCAGCCACTGGAGGCGCCCCCTGCTGGCCATTACAAAGAATGCATGTTCAAAGCACTTCGGCATTGGCTTCACTTTTCAGACCCTGAGGCAATGTCCACTCATGTTATACAGCCTATAGACAGATCTGAGAGTTGAGGCAGAGGGCTGTCGGTAACTCTCCTCTGCTCTGTAGGTTCACCCCAACAGCATCCACATCTGTGCAGTAGTGGTGGAGTACAAGACCGCTACCGGCCGCCTCAACAAGGGAGTTGCCACCAACTGGCTAAAGAACAAACTGGTCACTGACAACGGCCACAAGTCCACCGTACCCATGTATATCCGCAAGTCTCAGTTCCGCCTCCCCTTCAAAGCCACCAACCCAGTGATCATGATCGGCCCTGGGACAGGAATTGCTCCCTTCATGGGCTTCATCCAGGAGAGGGGCTGGCTCAAAGAGCAAGGTATTTATAGAAACTGTTGTGTGTGTGTTTTTTTGACCTTATTACAACCTTACATCTCCACAAGGACAGAAAGATGAGGGTAATGACCTCCACATGTGTTTGTGTCACTCCTGTCCTTGTGCACGCTCCACGACCCACACAAAACATCACAAAAGTATTTAAGGGTTGATTGACACACATAATCAGGGCTTTAATTATCTTAATTCAGCTATTAACTTCTTGTTTACTCACAACACAGACCTAATTGATAGTATAAGGGGACCTGCTGTGTTCATTTTCAGGTTCATACTTGTACTTTGGGTTTCTATTAGAACATATTTACATGCTTTAATGTTCAAAACACTTTATTTTCCCCATATGGTCTGTACTGAAACACCTGTATTCACCCTCTTTCTGTGAAGGCTATGTTTAGCGCCTGTGTCTTTAAGTCCCATGTCCACTTTTAAATATGTCCACTTTTAAATATGTTTGCCTCATTATTTTAAACTTTGGCCACGTTTAATATTGAATATCCAATATTGTAACATTATATACATATGGCAGAAAATAAAGAAAAGCATAACAGGTCCTCTTATAGTAGGAATTGTCTAGTTACTTAGGAAACACAATAAATGTGCGTGCAGTTTGATCTGAGAGTCATATTTTTAACTTCTGTGGAAGAGCCTGAATGGAATCATCAGCACGCACAGAATAACAATGTTTTGTTTCCTTTACAGGAAGGGAGGTTGGAGAGACAGTGATGTATTTCGGCTGCAGACATAAGAACGAGGATTATATCTACCAGGAGGAGCTGGAGGAAGCAGAGAAAAATCAAGTTGTAACGCAGCTTAATGTCGCCTTCTCCAGAGACCAGGAGCACAAGGTACGGGTGATTTCGTCACTGCTGTTGGTGTCCCTTAGAGCTGAGAAAAAGATCCTTGTCTTATTTAAATAATTAAACACTGTTTTGTTGAAGTGAGAACATAGAGAGTGGATTAGAGAACAGACATACACATAAAAAAACCCCACAATATTCTGTACGTTTATTGACCCTTTATTGGAACTTTCCGACCATATGATGCACATGTGAACAAAGTTTTCTCTTTCCATTTTCAAAAATAAAGGTGTACGTGCAGCATCTCCTGAAGAAGAATAAGGAGCACCTCTGGAAGCTGATTCATACAGACAACGCTCATATCTACGTCTGCGGGTAATTAATACATTTGACCACCAAAAGTTTCACAAAGTTCAGACTTTAATATAAATTTATTTATGTTGTGAAGAAATATTGAATTGAGTTATTGAATTCTGGCATACTTGAATTGTTGATATTGTTGATATTGTTTAATATAAAGGAATTAGGATGTACACTGGAGGGAAAACAAATATATGGAAACCCACGTTGTCTTTGGTCCTTTGGCACCTCGGCACCTCCTAGAGGGATAGTTATTATTGGTTTAATACTCCCATCATTCACGAATCAAAAGCAAATAACTTCCACCACGTTTTAGGTGAACATGACCGCTTACTGGTGATATTTTTTTATTAAATTGAAAAATCCGCCAAAATCCAGACAAAACAACCCTGAAACTAACACAACCAGACATCTAATGCCGGCTTTACACCAAGCGACTTTTCAGGCAATTTCAAGTCAATGACGTGAACATTGCCAGTAACAAGTATCTGCATTCTGTCCGACACCAAACAGGTAGCAACAAACCAGGTAGACAGTAAACATGGAAGGTTCAGTTTTCTTCTACTGTGGAAAAAGAGGAGAAACTGGTGGAGCTGTGGAGTGAATAAGAGTCTGTGTTATATTTGGCGTATATTAAGCTAACCAATGGAGGCTGGTAGTTAGTTGAGGTGGCAAAATTCAAATGTGAAGCTTGTGCACAAATAGAGTTTATCTTTATGGATTATATTGATGCTGAATTGACAAGAATACTGTCGACATGTGGCGCCTTTTATCTTGTGTTTCTAGAGTTATGTGTTTTTGTGGACTAGTAAGGAATTGTTAATATGGCATATTTTTTAAAGGGAGTTTGGCGTAATATTTTCCACCAGGAGCAGGATAGGAAATAATTTCAAAAGGAATCTAGTTGTAGTCTTGCAAATAGTGACCCTGCAAGATCTCCAGCAACGAGTTCCCACAGTCATGGAATTTCACAATCACATTTTCGAGGTCTGGAAAAAGTCCTGGAATTAGTCAAAATCATTGAAAAGTTTTGGGGGAAAAACATGGAATTTTGTTGTGTATTGTATTGTGAAATTGTTCCGTGGATAACCTTCCATGTAATGTAACATAACGGCAAATTAATTTTCTGTAGCTGTTGACTCTTCGTAGCTCTAATATGTGTCGATGTGTGACAGTGTTAAGTTTACCATCGTGAGCATTTAATCGTTTTCAACCTGGGTTTGTCTCTACCTTCATGTGTGCCAGCTATCTGAAGTTATGTTTGAAAAGAGTTTGAATCTGATACTGGGCAAGTGGGTCAAGAAAAAAAAACAGTTATGGGTGCTTAAAAAGTCATGGAAAAGTTTGGAAATTTTGTCATGAAAATGTTTGGTAACCCAGTATAGTGTTTGACTCGAGAAGTCACACTGTCTGTAGATTTGAGAGGACGTCAGACTTCAGTCTTTTAATAGTATACTTGAATTCTTTTCAAAGTCTTCCAGTGTATATCAGGCATTAAGAGATCTCGCTCTCCTGATTTAGGGATGCAAGGAACATGGCTAAAGACGTGCAGACGGCCCTCTACGAGATAGGAGAAGAACTGGGAGGCATGACGCGCACACAGGCCACAGACTACATCAAGAAACTGATGACGAAGGGACGCTACTCGCAAGACGTCTGGAGTTAAAGAGCATCAGTCTCACTACTCAACTGTTGGTTTTAAATTTTCTATTTTTTATTGTGTGTCTTGTTTTATCAGGACTGGATATAAAACCATTTAACACTTGCTCATCACCCTGGTTCATGAAAACTAGAGGTAGCAGAAGATCTTGAGGCAAACACTACCTCAGCAGGTTTTGTCGATAAACACATTCAGCAGTTTTAGTCTGTATTTCCTGTGTATGCTACACTATGTTTCTGGACCACCAGCCTGTGTCTGCTGGGGGGTCCTGACTTGAGCCGTGGTCTCAGACCAAACAACCCCAACTGGTTTCTAGAGATCATTAAGAATCTGATTATAAATGAATGAATTTGTTCAATCGGGTGGTTGACTGCAACTCTGGGTGCTTGGGGGTTGGGTGTAGGACACTGCTGGCTTTAAATTCCTCATTCTTTCATGCAAATTCAGCAGAGAGTCATCTTCATTTTAGATTTAAAGTGGAAACGGACAACTTTTTAAACACAAAGATGACCAGATCTCTTTCTGTTTTCCTCTGAGCCTGGCAACAGGGCTCATTTTGCTGCAGAGTTTTGTCCAGTTAATTCAATTGTTCCACTGTCTGCCATTTCCGCTACTGGGAATTGTAACTACAAAGACCTCAGACTGATACTCTTTGGTAACTGGAGATGGCTACCCGGGAAAACAAAAGCGCTATCCTCTTCCTGTTTTAGTTTCACAATTGTTGATGCACGTCCTTTGTGCTTGAGGCCTCATTTTTCCAGGAGATCATATCCAGTGTCAGACAGAACTGTATAATGAAAGCGAGGCCTATAGGGAGCCAGTGTAAACGCAGATGGTGTCATTATTCTATAGCCACTATATTGTGTGTTCACTTTACTTCTGATGCAAAAAATGTCTATTTCCACTTTAATTTTGATCAGATTCATTTTTATATTGATGAGTCAACCAGAGCAGCTTTACAAACTGATGACTTGGCATGGGGCAGGGTCTCGCCGCGCCCCACTTCTGAATGCACCTGATATAATTCCACTGTGAACATAAAGATTTAAATTAAAAGAAGTTTGTTCATTTTGCCATCTTGAAATATTCCTAACTTTTATCTGACTGAGTAACAAATCGTGGACGTGACACCGCAGTATGTTGGATCATATGTTGAAGTGAATATACAGATGTGTGTTCCTGTTGCAGTGTGAACACTCGGAGAGGCTTTAGACGTGACAGGTTGATGACATTAGTTTCTCTCGGAGCTGATATTGTCGTACTTTTGAAAGTACTTACAACACATTAAATGTTTTAGAGAATATGTAAAAAAATTCTGTGAGGAAACTGTGTGATGTAACAAACTAGGTACAATTATATTTGCCTTTGTATTTTGACAAGGGATTTTGCCTCTTATGCATAAGTTGCTGTTCATTTTAATCAGTAGCAGTAACCTTTTGGAGAGGCACAAGAAGTGGTGCAAAGGAGAAGATCATGTTTAGAAAAAAATATTAGATTATGTGGATTTTATTTCTCATAAAAGCCTGCCTTTAAAGATAAAAAATTAATCTGACATTACCCTGTAATATTTGTAAAATGTTAATTTGAAATTTGCCTTGAATCCAGATCTGGCCTCCTGATTGGTGGTTCTTTGTTTTATATGCATCTGACAGCAGAGGAGTGTGACGAGGGTTTGTCACGTGGCAGTAACACTCAGACACGTGACGACCACCTCAGTTTAATTATCTGTATTTTTGTATTTTGTTTTGTCCAATTACATATGCACCACTACATGGAGAAGATGACCAGACACATGGAAATGTTTTGTCTCTGAGCATCTGTTTCATCTAAGAGACAGATGCTAAGTACATAAGTGTGAATATGGTGAGTGTGAGGAGGTCTGCCAACCAGTTAAAATGCAGCCTGTGCCTTTATAACACTGCCTTATGTTATCAGTTAGCATTTAAACCCTGACGCTTCACTGTTGTTGTTTATTTCTTCCATGCTTACATTGTGGTAGAAAGTCACTTTACTCAGTACTGTCACTTTTTTGTCATTCCAATTTATGATGTAATTATTTGATTTTATCAAGGCATGCATTTTTTTATGAATAAAATTGGAATAATTTGTCAGATGTGACTTTTTATGATTAATTAAACTTAATGAGGTTTGTTCATGTACAGTGGCTGCACACACAACATCACCCACACTGCAAACTTCTGGATTTGTGTGGAAGTGTATTGCAAACAAAAGTTGTGTGTGTAAAGCGATCAGTATAACTTGTCGTCAAACGTGAGGTTTCAGCTCCGTCACACTAATGCTCTCATAGCAGTAGTGTTGAGAGGTTAAATCACACAGGGCTGCAGTGTGTTTGCTTTAAATGTTTTGTAATCATGAGTAACCAGCAGGAACAGCCTCATCCAAGAAGGAAATGTGCTAAATTATTTATTATAGGGTATCTAAACAAAATCTTTTGTAAGGCCTAATATGATCGGTCTTGAGGAAGCTACTTTGAGAGCATATCTTTGCATGCTTTTAATTCTTTAACACTGAAGGAAGTACAGCAAAGCGACCCTAGGGATAAAAATCTAGTTTGGTTAAGTCAAGCTTCTTTGTAAAAAGTGATCAAATTGACAGCGTATGTGATATGAAATTATAACAAATATACAAAAGAAGTCACATGCCAGCATAAAATGCAATCAATTGAGTTTGTTACGAAAGTGCCCACTTGTTCACAGGTCATACATAAACCAAATGAATAAATAAAATACCCTGTTATTCATGGGAAAGAGCAAGAAATGCAGCTTTGGTTGTGTGCACCTGCCTCCCAGAAACTAGAGTCCAGGTGGTGGTACTGCACTGAGCAGGATTACTCAGTTTGCCAGGTAACTTCTAAAATAGTATGCAACAACTTTCTGAAATTTTGTTGATAAAAAAGCAGTAGTCAATACTTCTAACTACTTGAATCATTATGTTGTTAGTTAAACTGCCAGCAAGCTACTGCAAAAAAAAAAAAAAAGTAGTTAAACTAATAGTTTTATTACATGTATTTCACTACTAGTCAATACTGGATATGATAAATCCTGTTCTGGGTTACAAATAAACTTTTACATTGTCTTTTCAGTTTGATAAAAAGGTCCAGAAACATTTTACAACAAAGTACTTTATTTGTTATATGCACAACTATTCCAGTGAAGCAATCATTGGCAATGAAATGTTTTCTTAAGCTATCTCCAAAAGTGCTCTTATATTATGAGTAAAAAGAAAATCACAAAAGTAAAAATGAGAATCTAAGACTACATATGGAATAGTGCAGGGTCCCAGTACGCCAGCTGCAGGGAGTGAGTATGCACAAATCCACGATCCTGAAATGGTTACAACTAAACGGAGTGCAGCCATAAATTAATATACTGTACTTTTCCTACTGTCACATCAAAAAAAAAATATGGAAAAGGTCTTTGGGTTAATCATGCATGAATACATTCACGAATACAACCTTGTTTTTGTCACCTCAGAGAATGACCAGGGGCGCAAGTTTTGTTTAACACTGGGTAGGGGGGCACATATGAACCCAGCCAGCCACCAACGTTGTTAGATGTTGATATTAGGTGGAATCTAGGTTTTGATGTCAGGTGACCGAAATTCAATATAAGGTCAATGTCTAATGCCAATGCCAATTTGATGTAGAATACTGGCAACTGATGACGCTGGTATTTTGTCTGTTACATAACTAACATCCAGCGTATCTCATGCTAACCCTACATGCTATATCATCGACAACAGGGCTTGCTTAAGTTTCTATAAGACATTTCACCTCTCAGCAAAGAGGCCTCTTCAGAAGTGAATGTATGAAGAACTTAAGAGGCTTCTTGGATGAGAGGGGAAACGTCTTTAAGAAAGGACCTCCACCAGAGAGTTTTGAGCATCAAAATGCTTATTTTTCTATATCCTGGTGAATGTCTGTGCAGCAGTTCATGCATTTTCTGCAACAGTTTATAGTGTGAATGTCTACAATTTTGTCAAAACAAAAGCCATCTGCTTCTGTCATGTTTCTGCGTCCCCCCCACAATATCAATACTAAGCTGAAACCTGCAAAAATACTGATGTGCTCTAATTTTCAGTGTCTGTTTGGAGTAAAGATACCATCAGGTATGACAGAGACTGAGATTAATATTAGTTCTGCCTTTTTTTAAACTAATAACTGAGCACATACTGCAGCTATCAGCCATGGTGTTGTTCCTATTACACTGTGAACCTGTAGGTGGCGGTGTTATAACTTATCTGTGAATCCGAGCAGCGCGTGCTAAACAGGAAGAAGAAGAAGCTGAATAAGGGAAGTGTCGCACTGTGCTCCGGCTCAATTCAGTGTCGCTGCGTAGATGTCAACCAGGGTTTTTATCAGCTAAATAGACTTCATTGTATTTTAACTATATACACAACGTCACAGAATGGCCACTGGTAAGTCAACGTGTTATTTTACAGTGTGTCAGTGTTGTTTTGTGTCGTTTTTGAAATGTATAATGAAAAGTGGGTCGAGTAGCATTGGAGCTAATGTAGCGGACAACCGCGAGGCCAGAAGAAGGGCGCCGTCTATCTCATGGAACATGGCTCATATTTCATTAGCAGGGCAACGTTAGCTTTAGTGTTTGAATAACGTTGAATGTATTAGTTTTCAGTACGGATGTTTAAAACCACAATTTGTTGTACATATTTACTCACACTTGTGCCGTAACCTCAGTGCCGTTACGTGGAAACACCGCAGAATGAACAAGGCCTTGTCGCCGCTAGCTAGCTAGCTAACAGTTAGTTCACGGTGTCAGTTGGGGAGAATGAATGCGTCTTTGTTTATACCGATCCCATTGTTTCAGTGCTGAGCCAGACACGTTTTGCGTTACTTTTAACAAATCTAGTGTTGGAGTCAATTGGCATTACTTGCATTGAAACAGTTTGTTTTTAAGCTAATTGTGCCGAGGAGGGACAGCATTTATGGCAGTTTGTTTCGTTTCAAGCGTTAGCCCAAGCCGAGACCAAATTGACCGCCATTTTTACCGGAGCGGCGTGCTAACGGGCCCGTTGGCGTGTGGCTGCAAGTAGCTAGTTGCCCCACTTAGATGAGCTACGTCTGTCCTGAAGCTATTTGTCAATTGTCTGCTTAGTCACTTTGATACTTGGTGTGTTTTAACCAGACGCGTGCGGGTAGCCTTTTGAGCTAAGCTAACATTAAACCTCTGATGTATTTCTCTTTCAGATTCAGGCTACGGTGGCTCTCAAAGGTAATGTACAGTCACACAAGCCCGACATTAACTTTCTGTATGTATGTTTGTATGTATGTATGTATGTATGTATGTATTCAGTTATATATCTGAGACCCATATGACCCATATGATGTTTTTGTAAACCGGAAGTTAAGTGTTTTTATCATGTCTTTGCAGCTACGGATCATATGGCGGTCAGCAGGGCGGACAGGTAAGACCCTTCCCCAAATAACTTGTAGGCCTGTCTGCTGAAAGCTTTATAATTGTAACTGTCTAACTGGGCTTTCTGATTGACAGGGTTATGGACAAGGAAATGGCAGTGGCTCTTATGGGGGACAGAGTTATGGTGGCTATGGCCAGCAAGGTGGCGGCGGCGGTGGTGGTGGTCCACAAGGTATAGTATGTGTGTATCTAATCAAAGTAGCTTGCAGAACTGCAATGAATGGTACATTGCATTGATGCCTTTTTAGTTTAATTCTCACTCAGAAAAGGAGTCGGCACTGTGTATGCAGAGTGATAAGTCATAATTATGACTACAGTATCAGTTGAAGCTTTTATGGATTGGAATACTTTATATACTAATTCTAATAAAATACCAAAAGTTACATAAGTCCCTGATTCTTTTTAGTTTAACAAGATAATTTTGACAAAGTTTATTGCATCATCATTGTCAGTGCGCCTTTGTCAGTTGTGTCATTTTGACTATGTAGCTACAGTGAACAGTACAGCTAACACAATTAAGTAGTTATTCAACCCATTAAGTCACCCAGCTGGAGAAGCAGAAGCACCCTGAGAGAATACCATGCACGGAAAAGCACAGCAAGGACGCCAGGGACTGTCATTCGGCTTAATTTTTATCTACTAACAACATTGATTCAGCCTAACCGTAAAAAGTCAGAGCACAGACTTAGCATAGCTGCCCCCAACCTTTTACTTGGATTTTACCAGCTATCTTGTTTATGGCATCGGTGCACATACCTGTGAACAGTTTAAAGGAAGCCTAGGGACATTTCACCAATGGTTGCGTGCAGGGTTTGTTTATGTTTCAAAGTAGGCCGACAATGTGTCAGAGTTACCGCACCTTTGTCACATTATGTAAATGAGTGCCTAAAGTTGTTTATACTATTACTAGGTCATTGCTAATATTACTGAGGTTTTCTGCTAAATTCAGCACCATGTTTCATTCAGTAAATCTTTGGTTTACAAATCAGCAGTTCCAAACATTAAAACTGCATTGTTAGGACATTAATTAGACATTAATTAGGGAATTAATACTGATTTGTTAAATGTTTGCTGAATGAGTTGTGCTTTTGTTTTTTTGAGGCCTAAGATATCAATCATCTTTTAGAAGGAGTTGACCATAAGCGATGGGCTCCATTGAATTTACAGTGTTAATGGAGTAAGGCAAAGTAATTGCTTATGTTATTGTTGAAAAAGGAAAACATTAATACTTAACACTGATAAAGAAATCACCACATGTTAAAAAGGAGTCATTCTACTCTCTTAAGCACCTTGACCCTATTTACAGCTGAATGTTTAAATATAAAAGTGGACGGAAAGACACCGCAGAACATCTCAAAGATGGTCATCAATGCACTTCTGTTATAGCGAGTTTTGTCATCTGTCAGAAGCTGATTGTTTTGAAATTAATTTCTCAATTTTGTGAATTTTCTTTTTCACAGACAGTTACAGCCAATCTCAGCCACAGAGCTTTGACAATTACGGACAGGACTCTGGGTAAGACACTAATGTGACTTTGTTAAAATACTTTCATAAATTGTGTGAGTGCTATGATTTGTCTGTGCAGAATAATTCTCACTGACATTCTTTGCCTCAGTGTCTTGGTAACATTAAGATCCACTTAATAATCCAAAAAA